TTGCAAATTATGGTGGAAAATAAGTATTTGGTCAATAACAAAAGTTTCTCAATACTTTGTTATATACCCTTTGTTGGCAATGACACAGGTCAAACGTTTTCTGTAAGTCTTCACAAGGTTTTCACACACTATTGCTAGTATTTTGGCCCATTCCTCCATGCAGATCTCCTCTAGAGCAGTGATGTTTTGGGGCTGTCGCTGGGCAACACGGACTTTCAACTCACTCCAAATATTTTCTATGGGGTTGAGATCTGGAGACTGGCTAGGCCACTCCAGGACCTTGAAATGTTCCTTCGTTGCCCGGGCGGTGTGTTTGGGATCATTGTCATGCTGAAAGACCCAGCCACGTTTCATCTTCAATGCCCTTGCTGATGGAAGGAGGTTTTCACTCAAAATCTCACGATACATGGCCCCATTCATTCTTTCCTTTACACGGATCAGTCGTCCTGGTCCCTTTGCAGAAAAACAGCCCCAAAGCATGATGTTTCCTGTCACGCTCGTCGGGAACAGAGGAGGACCAAGGCGCAGCGTTGAATGCGAACATATTTATTTAATTAATGATCACACGATCAAAAACAACAAAACGATGACGTGACAGTCAATGGTCAAACACAAACCAACACGAACAAGAAACCACAATGAATGAATGCCTAACGGCTACCTAAGTATGACTCCCAATCAGAGACAACGAGCTACAGCCGTCTCTGATTGGGAGCCACCCTGGCCAACATAGATATACAACAACTAGCACCAACACACATGAAAACTCACACCCTGGCTCAACATACTAGAGTCCCCAGAGCCAGGACGTGACAGTACCCCCCCCTAAAGGCGCGGACTCCGACCGCGCCAACCAAATACCACAGGGGAGGGACCGGGTGGGCACTCCGCCTTGGCGGCGGATCCGGCTCCGGGCATGATCCCCACTCGCTCTCTAACCCCCCAAAGTACCCCTGGTCCGGTCTGGCCCTGCTGACCGGAGCTGGACTGCACACTGGTGGAGCGGATTGCTCTAGCTCCGGCGTGAAGCAGCTGACCCGTGCTGAACCAGGCACCAGTGGAACAGGCACGGGCTGTGCCGGACTGACGACGCACACCACTGGCTTGGTGTGGGGAGCAGGAACGGCCCGAGCCGGGCTGACGAAACGCACCCCTGACTTAGTGCGGGGAGCAGGAGCGGGCCGAACCGGGCTGACGAAGCGCACCACTGACTTGGTGCGGGGAGCAGGAACGGCCCGAGCCGGGCTGACGAAACGCACCCCTGACTTGGTGCGGGGAGCAGGAGCGGGCCGAACCGGGCTGACGAAGCGCACCACTGACTTGGTGCGGGGAGCAGGAACGGGCCGAGCCGGGCTGACGAAGCGCACCACTGACTTGGTGCGGGGAGCAGGAACGGGCCGAGCCGGGCTGACGAAGCGCACCACTGACTTGGTGCGGGGAGCAGGAATGGGCCGAGCCGGGCTGACGAAGCGCACCACTGACTTGGTGCGGGGAGCAGGAACGGGCCGAGCCGGGCTGACGAAGCGCACCACTGGCTTGGTGCGGGGAGCAGGAACAGGCCGGACCGTACTGGGGACACACACCACTGGTCCTACGCAGGGATCTGGAATGGGCCGGACCGGACTGGTAACACACCCCAGTACCTCTCGCCGTGCCTCTACTCCTTCCATCCCCTCTTCGACCAGTGGCCCCCGTAACCTGGCGGCCTCCTCTGCCAACCCGCTGGGCCGCTCTGCCGCGGTCTCCTGCTGGCCCGTCGTCCACGGCGTTCGCCCCCCCCTAAAAAATTTCTGGGCGTCTCTCCTACCCGTGGACCAGGTCTCCATGTCCCTCGCCAGCCTTTCGCCCTTCTGCTTCCATGTCAAGCCCTTCTCCTCCTCTCCCGGCTTGACCCAGTCGAGGAGGTGTCGCTCCTGAGTGGCGCAGTGGTCTAAGGCACTGCATCGCAGTGCTAACTGTGCCACTAGAGATCCTGGTTCGAATCCAGGCTCTGTCGCAGCCGGCCGCGACCGGGAGACTCATGGGCGACGCACAATTGGCCCAGCGTTGTCCAGGGTAGGGGAGGGAATGGCCGGCAGGGATGTAGCTCAGTTGATAGAGCATGGCGTTTGCAACGCCAGGGTTGTGGGTTCGATTCCCACGGGGGGCCAGTATAAAAAAAGAAATATGTATTCACTAACTGTAAGTCGCTCTGGATAAGAGCGTCTGCTAAATGACTAAAATGTAAATGTAAATGTAAGGAGATCTGCTAGAGATCTCCCTGGCGATGGCTCCTGGACACGCTGCTTGGTCCAGTCTTGGTGGTTTCTTCTGTCACGCTCGTCGGGAACAGAGGAGGACCAAGGCGCAGCGTTGAATGCGAACATATTTATTTAATTAATGATCACACGATCAAAAACAACAAAACGATGACGTGACAGTCAATGGTCAAACACAAACCAACACGAACAAGAAACCACAATGAATGAATGCCTAACGGCTACCTAAGTATTACATTTACATTTTACATTTTAGTCATTTAGCAGACGCTCTTATCCAGAGCGACTTACAGGAGCAATTAGGGTTAAGTGCCTTGCTCAAGGGCACATTAACGTCATTTAGCAGACGCTCTTAGCCAGAGCGACTCACAAATTGGTGCGTTCACCCTATAGCCAGTGGGATAACCACTTTACAATTGGGGTATGACTCCCAATCAGAGACAACGAGCTACAGCCGTCTCTGATTGGGAGCCACCCTGGCCAACATAGATATACAACAACTAGCACCAACACACATGAAAACTCACACCCTGGCTCAACATACTAGAGTCCCCAGAGCCAGGGCGTGACATTTCCACCCCCATGCTTCACAGTAGGTATGGTGTTCTTTGGATGCAACTCAGCATTCTTTGTCCTCCAAACACGACGAGTTGAGTTTTTACCAAAAAGTTCTATTTTGGTTTCATCTGACCATATGACATTCTCCCAATCCTCTTCTGGATCATCCAAATGCACTCTAGCAAACTTCAGACGGGCCTGGACATGTACTGGCTTAAGCAGGGGGACACGTCTGGCACTGCAGGATTTGAGTCCCTGGCGGCGTAGTGTGTTACTGATGGTAGGCTTTGTTACTTTGGTCCCAGCTCTCTGCAGGTCATTCACTAGGTCCCCCCGTGTGGTTCTGGGATTTTTGCTCACCGTTCTTGTGATAATTTTGACCCCACGGGGTGAGATCTTGCGTGGAGCCCCAGATCGAGGGAGATTATCAGTGGTCTTGTATGTCTTCCATTTCCTAATAATTGCTCCCACAGTTGATTTCTTCAAACCAAGCTGCTTACCTATTGCAGATTCAGTCTTCCCAGCCTGGTGCAGGTCTACAATTTTGTTTCTGGTGTCCTTTGACAGCTCTTTGGTCTTGGCCATAGTGGAGTTTGGAGTGTGACTGTTTGAGGTTGTGGACAGGTGTCTTTTATACTGATATCAAGTTCAAACAGGTGCCATTAATACAGGTAACGAGTGGAGGACAGAGGAGCCTCTTAAAGAAGAAGTTACAGGTCTGTGAGAGCCAGAAATCTTGCTTGTTTGTAGGTGACCAAATACTTATTTTCCACCATAATTTGCAAATAAATTCATTAAAAATCCTACAATGTGATTTTCTGGATATTTTTTTCTCAATTTGTCTGTCATAGTTGACGTGTACCTATGATGAAAATTACAGGCCTCTCTCATCTTTTTAAGTGGCAGAACTTGCACAATTGGTGGCTGACTAAATACATTTTTTCCCCACTTTATACTTTATTATCAAATGTGGAAATAAACATCATATAAAATAGAAATGGGTCTGTAACTTTTCGTCGAATTTTCACTTTATGTCGAAAGAGTAAAGCTAATGTTTTCACCAGGTTTTCACTGTCGACTCAGAAAAAAAACACGTTCTCTGCTGCCCCGCTGCATCTCATCTCCCTACACTGATGTGATAGTTACCACGGTAATTCAGCTGTGCCTGTGTTTGTGTCCTAATCACTGGCTGTCCTGTCAGAACCTGTGAAGTAATCAACTGTTCTTCCCCACTTCCATGGAATAAAAAGGCATCTGCATTGTACACACTGCATGCGTCCCAAATTAAATCCTATTCCCTATATACTGCACTACTACCCTATGGGCCCTGGTCAAAAGTAGTGCGCTGTAAAGGGAATAGGGTGCATCTGGATCGCACCCACAGTGATGGTGCTCTGATTGAAATTTTTCCATGAAAGCCTTTTTACCCACAGGTTCTCTGGTTGCTGATGACAGATATCAGTTAACAGACCACCCCCTATTTACCTCAATCTAAAATATATTTTCAGCTATTCACTGTATAATGGGACTATATTTGGACAGTACAGTAGCAATCATCGCTTTCTCCTGATTGCTTTTATTTAGTAGCATACAGGACTGAATTAGATTGTTTTAGATTTTTCAAACAAGGCTGTAAGTCGATCAGAATAGGCACTACCAGCATAGGGAGTCTTTTCCATAGAGATAAAACTAAATCTATGGTCTGTTCACTCACAAGGCAATGTTCTCTGCTTACATAGAAGTGAGTTACAGGCTATGCCTGCCTTTTCATATCCTGTTGTTACTCAATGTCTATCAAACCCCTCACCACCTTATCAAGCTGCCAAACCCCAGTGACTTGTAATAACTGTTGATGAAAAGATATCAAGTATATTTCCAGTAACACTGTCCAGACTTATATTGGATGTGTTTCACTCATTTTACAGAGGCAACATCAGTTGAAGCTAAAGCTGATGAACTGCAGATACAGATGACAGATATCAATGTGACAAGCCTGGCCTTGGGGAGTTAATGCAAGTCTTTAGGTCTTAGGCAAGGTTACTCATCACACAAGCATGGTTCAATAAACCACCTCCCTTACAAATGCTGCTTTCTCAACCTCCCATGTTTTCTTTTACAGGCTGTATGCTGTGTTTTGGCCAGTCTGCCTTTTTCCGCTTCAACCACCCAGAGGAGGCATCCAGGATGAAGAGCATGATGCCAGAGGGACGCAAGGGCTCCGGTGGGAACTACAGAATCCACTCAGGTAATACAGCACTGTCATGACACACTCAAGGTATAGGCCCTACCGTTGTATGAAGTAATCATGCCAAAAAAATTGCTAAACAAATAAGCAGAAAATCAAATGTAGACGTCTGTCTGGATGTTACAAGACACATTTTGTGAGCACTTCACTTGAACCCTCTCAAATACAAAGCTTGCATAATACTCAGAATACATGGCTGATGTCAGCTAATGGCAACCAACGTTGGAGTACAATGAACACACTGAATATAAACTACTGGGGTAAATCTAAAGGTATGCAAAGGGTTAAAAGCAAGGTATTTGAAAGACATTTTGAATATCCGGTCAATTGAAAAGACACTGAATAAACAGGGCTACACTTCCTCCACCAAGGTCCTTGTTTCTGTGTCGCCACACAGATGAATGGTTCAGATGTCTACAGTGGAGTGGTTACTAAGGAGGCAGCTCCCTTATAGGTGCTGAGTTCCACACGCCACAGAAGGCCCCCTATTGCCTTTCCATTTCCGGCCTGGGTGGAGACAGGGTGCAACAGAACCCTGGCTGCCTAGGCCTGCTGGCCCTGGTTTCACACCATGCATGTTTTATGAGCATCTCATTCCTCTTTGGGTCTCTAGGCAGAAGTGTTCAGCTGCCTAGCCCTGCCCTGTCCTATCGCAGACATAGTGGAGTGTGTTTCCCCTTCTTGGCCGCCTTTGGGGGATCTGTCCCAGCATCTTGTTATTTCCTTATTTTTTTGCGCGTTGACGACGTGCCACTGGTGATAAGTATAGCGCATATACATACAGTGAGGGAAAAAAGTATTTGATCCCCTGCTGATTTTGTACGTTTGCCCACTGACAAAGAAATGATCAGTCTATAATTTTAATGGTAGGTTTATTTGAACAGTGAGAGACAGAATAACAACAACAAAATCCAGAAAAACACGTCAAAAATGTTATAAATTGATTTGCATTTTAATGAGGGAAATAAGTATTTGACCCCCTCTCAATCAGAAAGATTTCTGGCACCCAGGTGTCTTTTATACAGGTATAGAGCTGAGATTAGGAGCACACTCTTAAAGGGAGTGCTCCTAATCTCAGCTTGTTACCTGTATAAAAGACACCTGTCCACAGAAGCAATCAATCAATCAGATTCCAAACTCTCCACCATGGCCAAGACCAAAGACCTCTCCAAGGATGTCAGGGACAAGATTGTAGACCTACACAAGGCTGGAATGGGCTACAAGACCATCGCCAAGCAGCTTGGTGAGAAGGTGACAACAGTTGGTGCGATTATTTGCAAATGGAAGAAACACAAAAGACCTGTCAATCTCCCTCGGCCTGGGGCGCCATGCAAGATCTCACCTCGTGGAGTTGCAATGATCATGAGAACGGTGAGGAATCAGCCCAGAACTATATGGGAGGATCTTGTCAATGATCTCAAGGCAGCTGGGACCATAGTCACCAAGAAAACAATTGGTAACACACTACGCCGTGAAAGACTGAAATCCTGCAGCGACGCAAGGTACCCCTGCTCAAGAAAGCACATATACAGGCCCGTCTGAAGTTTGCCAATGAACATCTGAATGATTCAGAGGAGAACTGGGTGAAAGTGTTGTGGTCAGATGAGACTAAAATTGAGCTCTTTGGCATCAACTCAACTCGCCGTGTTTGGAGGAGGAGGAATGCTGCCTATGACCCCAAGAACACCATCCCCACCGTCAAACATGGAGGTGGAAACATTATGCTTTGGGGGTGTTTTTCTGCTAAGGGGACTGGACAACTTCACCGCATCAAAGGGACGATGGACGGGGCCATGTACCGTCTGTCACGATCGTCGTAGGAAGTAGACCAAGGCGCAGCGTGATGAACGAACATGTTTATTTATCATTAGCGATAAACACGGACAGTAAACAAAAACAACAAACGACTCGTAACGTCCTAGGTAACTTAGACCAACACGGAACAAGAACTCACAAACACAAAGGGAAAAACAGACAGTTTAAATATGGCTCCCAATCAGAGACAACCAGCCACAGCTGACACTCGTTGCCTCTGATTGGGAGTCACTCAGGCCAACCTAGAAATAAACAAACTAGAACTCCCAACATAGAATTACACCACATAGAACGAACACACCCTGGCTCAACATATAGAGTCCCAGCGCCAGGGTGTGACAGTACCCCCCCCTAAAGACGCGGACTGCGACCGCGCCTCAACCAGAGCAAAACAGGGGAGGGCTGGGTGGGCATTCCTCCTCGGCGGCGGTTCTGGCTCCGGGCTTGCCCACCACCCTCCAATAATCCCCCCATAACGCCCCTGGTCCGGTCTGGCCCCGCTGGCTGGAGCTGAACTGGACGTAGTATGAGCGGATAGCTTCAGCTCCGTTGTGGAGCAGTTGACCGGTACCTGATTAGGCACCGGTGACCCAGGCACGGGTTGTGCCGGACTGACGACGCGCACCCCTGGCTTGGTGCGTGAGGCAGGAACGGACCGGACCGGGCTGACGATGCGCACCCCTGGCTTGGTGTGTGGAGCAGCAACGGGCCGGACCGGGCTGACGATACGCACCCCTGGCTTGGTGCGTGGAGCAGGAACGGACCGGACCGGGCTGACGATGCGCACCCCTGGCTTGGTGCGTGGAGCCGGAACGGGCCTCACCGGACTGACGACTCGCACCCCTGGCTTGGTGCGTGGAGCAGCGACGGGCTGGACCAGGCTGACGACTCGCACCCCTGGCTTGGTGCGAGTAGCAGGAACGGGCTGGACCAGGCTGACGACTCGCACCCCTGGCTTGGTGCGAGTGGCAGGAACGGGCTGGACCAGGCTGACGACTCGCACCCCTGGCTTGTTGCGAGTGGCAGGAACAGGCCGGGCCGGGCTGGCGACGCGCACCGTAGACTTGGTGCGAGTGGCAGGAACAGGCCGGGCCGGGCTGGCGACGCGCACCGTAGACTTGGTGCGAGTGGCAGGAACAGGCCGGGCCGGGCTGGCGACGCGCACCGTAGGCTTGGTGCGAGGGGCAGGAACAGGCCGGGCCGGGCTGGCGCCGCGCACCGTAGGCTTGGTGCGAGGGGCAGGAACAGGCCGGACCGGGCTGGCGACGCACACCGTAGGCTTGGTGCGAGGGGCAGGAACAGGCCGGACCGGGCTGGCGACGCACACCGTAGGCTTGGTGCGAGGGGCCGGAACAGGCCGGGCCGGGCTGTGGAGACGGATAGGAGACCTGGAGTGAAGTGCGGCCACAACCCGTCCTGGCTGAATGCCTATCTTCACACACTCTGTGTGAGGCATCCGCACAGGACGCACAGGGCTGTGTACCCGTACTGGCATAACAGCACGTGACACTGGCGCAGGATATCCGGGACCGAGGAGAGGCATTGGAGACCACGAGCGCTGAGCCGGCACACTCCGTCCTGGCTGCATACCCACCTTCGCATGACACGTGCGGGGTGCTCGCACAGGACGTACAGGACTATGCCGAACCACTCGTGGCACAGAACGCCGCTCCGCATACCGCGGAACCTGCCCAGTCCCATGCTGCCATGCCTGAGTACGGGAAGTTGGTTCCGCTCTCCATCCAGGCTCCGCCAACCTGCCTTCTGGCCCCCCAAACCCGGTGGCCTCCTCTCCAAATCGCCCTGTGGCAGCCTCCTGCTGCCCAGCCGACCATGCCGTGTGCCCCCCCCTAAAATTTTTTGGGGGTTGCCTCTCGTCCGTCCAACGATGACACTGCTGACGCCGCTGCTCCTCTCTCGCCAGGGCCTTAATCCTAGCCCATGGCCCTTTGCCCCCGAGCATGTCCTCCCAGGACCACGATTTGCCCACCTGGGCCATCGCCAACCTCTCCATCTCCTTTCCCGGCGCTTCCTCCCATGTCCAGTCTGCCTGCTCCTGGACACGCTGCTTGGTCCTTGTATGGTGGGTTCTTCTGTCACGTTCGTCGTAGGAAGTAGACCAAGGCGCAGCGTGATGAACAAACATGTTTATTTATCATTAGCGATAAACACGGACAGTAAACAAAAACAACAAACGACTCGTAACGTCCTAGGTAACTTAGACCAACACGGAACAAGAACCCACAAACACAAAGGGAAAAACAGACAGTTTAAATATGGCTCCCAATCAGAGACAACCAGCCACAGCTGACACTCGTTGCCTCTGATTGGGAGTCACTCAGGCCAACCTAGAAATAAACAAACTAGAACTCCCAACATAGAATTACACCACATAGAACGAACACACCCTGGCTCAACATATAGAGTCCCAGCGCCAGGGTGTGACACCGTCAAATCTTGGGTGAGAACCTCCTTCCCTCAGCCAGGGCATTGAAAATGGGTTGTGGATGGGTATTCCAGCATGACAATGACCCAAAACACACGGCCAAGGCAACAAAGGAGTGGCTCAAGAAGAAGCACATTAAGGCCCTGGAGTGGCCTAGCCAGTCTCCAGACCTTAATCCCATAGAAAATCTGTGGAGGGAGCTGAAGGTTTGAGTTGCCAAACGTCAGCCTCGAAACCTTAATGACTTGGAGAAGATCTGCAAAGAGGAGTGGGACAAAATCCCTCCTGAGATGTGTGCAAACCTGGTGGCCAACTACAAGAAACGTCTGGGTTTTGCCACCAAGTACTAAGTCATGTTTTGCAGAGGGGTCAAATACTTATTTCCCTCATTAAAATGCAAATCAATTCATAAAATTTTGTTGTTGTTATTCTGTCTCTCACTGTTCAAATAAACCTACCATTAAAATGATAGACTGATCATGTCTTTGTCAGTGGGCAAACGTACAAAATCAGCAGGGGATCAAATACTTTTTTCCCTCACTGTATTGGGTGTTGGGAACTTCCTGGTTTGGTAATGAATGCTTTCCACTGTTGTTTAAAAGGCTTGATTTCTCCTTAAATGTGCATTCCTTGGTGTGGTCGCTAGAGAGGGTCTGTTCTTACCCTTGACGTACGTAAACTGTGTATTATTGTGTGTCACATTAAGGTTGATAGATTTGATTTATGAGTATGATTTCTAAGACATTTCTAGCGTTTGCTTGGTAACCCCCACTCTCATACAGTACATTGCAGTAAGCCTATACAGTAGTTCAGCCACCCTCAGTGAGCAGCTCTGACACATTTCCTACCAGGCTCATTCGTATGCCAGCCAGGCAAGCTTTGTTGGCTATTCACTGCTTATTTTAAGTTGAGGGGTATCTTTTACTGTTTCTATTTTTAAACCTCCACCCTATTCTACTATCTTCCATCTTCCACTTCCTGTGTATTTCCTCTCACTTTCCTGCACCGCACCCTTTCCTTGTGTATTTTAGGTTAACAGAGGGGATTTAAATGCCCTCTCTATCTTAATGATCTCCTGGCTTCAATCTTAATATCCCATCATTTTAAATGGTTGGGCTCTGCCTAAAATGTCTGATATAGCTTACACAACTGTTATTTGATGTAGTCAAAATCCATTGGTTCATTGTCTATGCAGTACAAATTACAATAGGCAAGGAAATATATCACACTGTAGATAACCTAAAAGACTCAATACTATAAAGCCTAGGCATATTTTTTAATTAAGTATGAATGACAGTATGATTTCACAATAGTTTAAATTGTAATGTCACATGCACAAGTACAGTGAAATGCCTTTCTTGCTAGCTCTAACGCCAACAATGCAGTAATCAATAACAATGTAAAAAAATAAAATAAAAAAATAATAATAATGTACGTAATACTAAAAATAACAAGGAAGAACAAAAACATAAAAGTTATAAAAAGAAAAAGAACAGAATAAAGTAAGTAAGCATACTATCTATATACAGGGTCAGTTCCAGTACCATATTTACAATGTGCAGGGATACTGGATCGATAGAGGTAGATATGTATAGGGGTAAGGTGACTAGGCATCAGGATATATGATAAACAGAGTAGCAGCAGCGTATATGATGATTTTATGTGTGTGTATGTGTGTGTGTATGTGTGTGTGTGTGTGTGTGTGTGTGTGTGTGTGTGTGTGTGTGAGAGAGCAAATTATGGAGTGAGTGTTTGTATGTGTGTCGGAGTATCAGTGAATGGGCTGTCCGCACCACCCCCTGTAGCGCCATGTGATCAAGGGCGGTGCTATTGCCATACCAAGCGGTGATTTTTGTTTTTTTATTTGTTTTTTTAAACCTTTTTTTTGTCCTTTTATTTTTATTTGTTTTCACCAAGCGTTGATGCAGCCAGTCAAGATGCTCTCAATGTAGAACTTTGTAGAACTTTTTGAGGGCCCATGCCAACCTTTTTCGACCTCCTGAGGGGGAAGAGACGCTGTCGCGCATTCGTCACGATTGTGCGCGTGTGATTTGGACACCGAGGAACCTGAAGCTCTCGGGCCTGCTCCAGTGCAGCCCCGTCGATGTGGATGGGGACATACTCGCCCCTCCGTTTCCTGTCGTCCACGATCAGCTCCTTGGTCTTACTGCCGTTGAGGGAGAGGTTGTTGTTGGGGCCCCACACTGCCAGGTCTCTGATCTCCTACCTGTAGGCTGTCTCATCGTCGCCGGTGATCAGGCCTACCACCGTCATGTTGTCAGCAAACTTGATGATGGTGTTGGAGTCGTGCGATGATATGGTGTGTGGGCCTCCCACTACTACTCGGGAAACCATGCAGTTTATTAGGCTACAGATTAAATAAATTATGATGAACTTCACAGGGTTTTGTGAAAGTGCACGGTGATGAGCTTGATGCTGCTTTCCAATAAATATCGAGGTTCTTATTCTGGTGAAATGATCAATGCTTGACTGCCATTTGACAAATACAAATATTCTCACTCTTATCCATAATAATCTCATCATGTAGACTAGCCAACCCGCACAGCCTACCCGCAATGTATCTGCCAGCTGTTGGCTAGAGCGCAGGTGCCCAGACCCGAGTAGGCACATTTGCTATTTAACGTAAAAGTTTTTGTGACAAAATTATAGGTAGAGTTGAAATACGATCGAAACACATGATTTTTGTTCGGTACATGAAAATGTAAGCGAAAAAATACATTTTGTGTGCACTACCTCATCACGCACTGATTTTTATCCGCAACAAGTCAGTTTGGTGGAAACAGCACTGGTGGGAAAATGTGCATATTTTCTTTATGCAGATTCTAGAATATTTGCATGAAAATCTGGCCAATTGGATGGAAACCTAGCTACTGTGATTGTCTTTAATTAAAATACCAAAAAGCAATTTCTCAAGCACGAATTTAGCTAGGACTGTCTGGGAGTGTATATATATATAAAGCTCAGGAAAACCACGTTTTTGATTGCACTGCCCCTTTAAGAACAAAAACCGATGACATAGTTCCCACCCCCTTAAATCTAGCAGGCCGTCACATCAGCACCGTGGACAGGGAAGGGAGGGGGAGCGAGCAAGCAGGGTAGCGGCGCCTGGCACACGAAACCCGGCTGGAATATCACGTCGGCAGAGGCTCTCTCAACCTTCCCGGGTGCCGAGACCCGGGTAGGCTACGACAGGCTTCGGTAAAGGCAGCTTTATTGAGGTAGGAATGCCGGGCTCCAGCTTTTGGGTTTTAGCAGGGTTATAAGTCATTATAAACAACTTAGTCGCAAGATTACCCATTTATGTAAGTACTGATAATTATTATTATTGACGCTTTGGTGTTGGACATTATAGGGTCCGTCCAGGGACAGACACGAATGTATTTTCACGGTCATTCTCTACGTTTTTGACATTGTGGGTCTATTCATATTCTGAGACGTTTGACAATCGAAATGCTGGCGACATCCTACGACCATGTGGCCTGCTCTGTGCTGAGAAAATAACGGCGAAAATGAATAAACAAATAACCGAAATTATCCATATAATTGAAATTTACACCAAAATGGATTGGGGTCATATGGTAGTCGTGCTGTCACTCAAAACGACACGATGCTTAGATCGTTTTCTGCTTAGCAGAAGAAGAGCTCTGGTTGAGTCATTGTAGAAAGACCAGGCAGATAGGCTACTCCCAGCTCTTTACTGAACAAATAGTGGTTATGCATTATTTGTAAAGCCTCTTCATCATCCAGGGCTATGAGATCATCTTTATGAATAGAAAGCAACATCACATGGGATATTTAATTAAGATGGTTATTTAGTGCGGTGATACACAGTACCTTGTTTATCCTGGACTGAAAGTAGCCTATTTGAAGGCAATTGAAGCAGAGCTGTATTTAGAATGGCTTTCACGTTTGGCATGTGCATGATATATAGACATGTCACAGAAATGTGTTCACCTACATATTCACATGCATACAGCACATATTTCCACATACAAGAGTAGCCAAAGATGCATGATCTCACTAATTTGTAATGTACAGTGACATTGTATCATTATGACATCTTACGGCAAGGTGTTTTTTATTTTTATTTTTAGACAATAGAAAATAGCCATAGACAAAAGTCAATAGACAACTGAACAGTCCACAGACATGGATCCACTAAACTAAACATGACATTGGTTGGGACTTAATGCTCAACCTTCAACATAAAGACAAAAAACAAACTCGGTCCTACATAAATTTCAACAAACATTCACGACATCATACTTGCTCACACCTACATGTTCCCACCGTATCCATGTCATGCCTAAATGTAACCCCAACTGGATGATTTGATTAAAAATATATATATACAGTACCAGTCAAAAGTTTGGACACACCTATTCATTCATAGTTTTTCTTTATTTTTACTATTTTTTACATTGTAGAATAATAGTGAAGATATCAAAACTATGAAATAACACATGGAATCATGTAGTAACCAAAAAAGTGTTAAACAAATCAAATTATATTTTATATTTGAGATTCTTCAAAGTAGCACCCTTTGCCTTGATGACAGCTTTGCACACTCTTGGCATTCTCTCAACCAGCTTCACCTGGAATGCTTTTCCAATGGTATTGAAGGAGTTTCCACATATGCTGAGCACTTGTTGGCTGCTTTTTCTTCACTCTGCCGTCTGACTCATCCCAAACCATCTCAATTGGGTTGAGGTCGGGGGATTGTGGAGGCCAGGTCATCTGATGCAGCACTCCATCCCTCTCCTTCTTGGTAAAATAGCCCTTACACAGCCTGGAGGTGTGTTGGGTCATTGTCCTGTTGAAAAACAAATGATAATCCCACTAAGACCAAACCAGATGGGATGGCATATTGCTGCAGAATGCTGTGGTAGCCATGCTGGTTAAGTGTGCCTTGAATTCTAAATAAATCACTGACAGTGTCACCAGCAAAGCACTCCCACACCATAAAACCTCCTCCTCCATGCTTTACGGTGGTAACTACACATGCGGAGATCATCCGTTCACCCACACCGTGTCTCACAAAGACACAGCAGGGCGGCAGGTAGCTTAGTGGTTAAGAGCGTTATGCCAGTAACCGAAAGGTCACTGGTTCTATTCCCCGAGCTGACTAGGTGACAAATCTGTCGATGTGCCCTTGAGCAAGGCACTTAACCCTGATTGCTCCTGTAAGTCGCTCTGGATAAGAGCGTCTGCTAAATGACTAAAATGTAAATGGAACCAAAAATCTCAAATTTGGACTCATCAGACCAAAGGACAGATTTCCACCTGTCTAATGTCCATTGCTCGTGTTTCTTGGCCCAACCAGGTCTCTTCTTCTTATTGGTGTCCTTCAGTAGTTGTTTCTTTGCAGCAAAATCGACCATGAAGGCTTGATTCACACAGTCCCCTCTGAACAGTTGATGTTGAGATGTGTCTGTGACTTGAACTCTGTGAAGAATTTATTTGGGAGGCAATTTCTGAGGCTGGTAACTCTAATGAACTTATTATCTGCAGCAGAGGTAACTCTGGGTCTTCCATTCCTGTGGCGGTCCTCATGAGAGCCAGTTTCATCATAGCACTTGATGGTTCTTGCGACTGCACTTGAAGAAACGTTAAAAGTTCTTGAACATTTCCGTATTGACTGACTTTCATGTCTTAAAGTAATGATGGACTGTCGTTTCTCTTTGCTTATTTGAGCTGTTCTTGCCATAATATGGACTTGCTCTTTTACCAAATAGGTCTAGATTCTGTATACCCCCCCTACCTTGTCACAACACAACTGATTGGCACATTAAGAAGGAAATAAATTCCACAAATTAACTTTTAAGAAGGCACACCTGTTAATTGAAATGCATTCCAGGTGACTACCTCATGAAGCTGGTTGAGAGAATGCCAAGCGTGTGCAAAGCTGTCATCAAGGCAAAGGGTGGCTATTTGAAGAATCTTAAATATAAAATATATTTTGATTTGTTTAACACTTTTTTTTGGTTACTACATGATTCCATATGTGTTATTTCATAGTGTTGATGTCTTCACTATTATTCTACAGTGTAAAATGTTGTTTTAATAAAGAAAAACCATTGAATAAGTAGGTGTGTCCAAACTTTTGACTTGTAGTGTATATACTGAGTATACCAAACATTAAGAATACCTTCTTAATATTGAGTTGCACCCTCCCACCCTTTTGCCCTCAGAACAGCCTCAATTTGTCAGGGCATGGACTCGACAAGGTGTCGAAAGCGTTCCACAGGGATGCTGGCCCATTTGACTCCAATGCTTCCCACAGTTGTGTCAAGTTGGCTGGTGGACCATTCTTGATACACACAGGAAACTGTTGAACATGAAAAACCCAGCAGCGTTATTTTCACATACATCGGATAGGTTCAGTGAAATGTGTTGTTTTACAGGGTTAGCCATAGTACTACGGCGTCCCTGGAGCAAATTAGGGGTAAGTTCCTTTCGGCTCGGGTATTCGAACCAGCAACCTTTCTGTTACTGGCCAAACGCTCTAACCGCTAGGCTACCTGCCATCATACCAATGATGACATTGCTTATTCCTGCTTGGAGCCTATTAGCATATCCTATTAATGCCATAATTTACACATGGCTGTCCCCATGTACTCTCTAATCTACCACGTTGACATTATGGGGAGGCAGCGAGTTGCCTGAGATTTCGATTGAATTACCACTGTGCCCTGGCCTGCGCTGCTCTCCAGCCACACACTAATTGGGTTATACTGGCATATTTTCCCCTCAATCTTTCCAAAGCCTGTCTTTTGCTCTCTCTCTCTCTCTCTCTCTCTCTCTCTCTCTCTCTCTCTCTCTCTCTCTCTCTCTCTCTCTCTCTCTCTCTCTCTCTCTCTCTCTCTCTCTCTCTCTCTCTCTCTCTCTCTCTCTCTCTCTCTCACTCTCTCTGTCTCTCTCTGTTTCCCTCTGTCTCTCTCTTTTTGTTTCTCTCACTCTTTCTCTGCCTCTTTTCGCCCTCCTTTTTCTCAGTAGCATTTCTTTAATGCAAATTGTGATTTGGGTAAATGAAGTTTGGCAGCAGGCGGGTTTAAATTTAGAAGCACTCTAAGATAATTGATGGATTGAAGTGTAGCCAACCTATAAAACATAAGAGCCAATTGTAGGTACTTGTGCTAAGGGCTCAGGTTAAATCATAAAAGTAACAAGGCACGTTATATTAATGAGAGGTGGTGCAACCGTAAGATACAGGCCATTTATGAACTTTAAGGTCCATTCATAACATCATCTCATTATCTATTCAGCTCTTAGAGCCTATGTCTGTTTCTATTTGTCATGTTTTTAGTTTTCAGGGAAATACCATACTGTAAATATTGCACATTTTGGTATCTATACTGTATAATATATATACCGTATATATTGCAGTGATCATAGTCTTCACCCATAGTATAGCCTAGTGAGTGATCATAATATTTTCTCAGACCACCCTTTACATGTGTGTATACTGTATAGTAGGCCTATGTACTGTATACCTGAGACTGATATTAGTTTTCTTTTCCCTACAGACTCAGAGAGCCTTGTCAATGGGAACCATCAGTCCCAGTCGCGCCATCCAGCCCCCGGTGAGAGAGACCCCCGCTCCGAGCATAGTGCCATCGTCAGCTCCATCGAAAAGGACCTCCAGGACATCATGGACTCCCTAGTCATGGATGATCCCCAGCCTTCCTCTTCAGACTCAAAAAAGCCAGACCACCCCATCCCCCACTCCCCGCTGTCCCCCATGGTCAACGGAGGAGGCCGATACCTCCTCTCCCCTCCCACCAGCCCGGGAGCCATGTCGGTGGGCTCCAGCTATGAGAACACCTCCCCACCCTTCTCCCCCCTGTCCTCTCCCTCGGCAGCCAGCAGCGCAGGCAGCTACACCAGCCCCTCTCCCAGCGGCTGCCTGGACCCCCAGGACCCATCTCTGCCCCCCGTGCCGGTCCGCTCATCCAGCTACAACTACACAACTACACCACCCATCCCCCAGCCAAGGACCATACTGACCAACTACAGCCCGGCCGGCGTGGTGCAGAGGGTTCCTGAGAGCCCCAGGCTCCAGAGGAAAGGTCTCCTCGAGGCCCCCCAGAGCCCAAAGCCGGCCCGCAGAGGCCAGAGCCTGGATAGCCCAGGGGGGATGGGTTCAGAGAGCCCCAGACTGACCCACCTATCTGTTGCCTCAGCCGATGCCGGGTACATGGGCATGGGCAGGAGCGCAGTGCCAAGTAGCCCCAGACTCACTGCCAAGTTCCCCTACGCCTCCACGTCCTCCTCTCCATCCAGCCCCAGGACGAAAGCGGGCACCATCCTCCAGGAGCGCCCGGCCAGCCTCTTTAGAGAGCAGGTGGACCACTCCCTCACCTCCAGCCCTTCCAGACAGCTGCTATCCCACACCAGCAGGGCCTTCCAGCCTCCCCTGGACCCCATCGTCCACATCATCCATGGGGGCTCTCCACTCCAGCAGCACCACCCCTTCCCCCACCCCCGCACGCTGCAGCCCCCAGAGAGCCCTCGACTGACCCGCAGGAACCTCGAGCTCAGCAGCGGTGTTGGGGGCAGCAGCATGAAGGAGCTCCCCCCTCTCAGCCCCTCCATGGCTCGCAGAGGGGTGCCTGTTCACCCGGGGGCTCTCCCTGGAAGTATCCCCACGTTGAGAACGCCCGAGAGCCCATCATCATCATTGGGGAAGCTGGGAGTCCCGGAGAGCCCCAGGCTCCTACGCAAGGCTTGCTCCCCCCCAGAGGACCAGTTTGGCGGCAGTGTGGTCCGAGCCCGCAGCCCCTCCCCCACCTCAGGGCTGATGATGATGGAGAGCGGGGGAGGGGGGAGGAAGGCCAGCTTTGGGAACGCCCTCTCCCCTGCTTACAGCCTGGGCTCCCTACCTGGCTCCTCGCCTCTCGCCAGCCCCAGGGGCCATAGGAAGATGTCCGGGGGCCCCCGGGAGCAGAGGGGCCCCCACCCAGGCATGCGGGAGCGCAAAAACAGCATCTCTGAGATCAGCGACAACGAGGACGAGCTGTTGGAGTACCACCGGCGCCAGAGAGAGGAGAGGCTCAGGGAGCAGGAGATGGAGAGACTGGTAAGTAGAGCGGCCTGCTCTTAGCTGGATCAACTGTTAGCTGTGAGCAAGGCTAGCTGTTCATACCAATCATCATTGACCACGTGATACAGAGATACAGGGTAATAGTAACCTAGAAGTTATTAGATTGGTTGAACAATATTTATCCAATTAATACTATCAATTAAATTACCATAAATTTTTATACTGGTCATCAAGATGGTCTAGGCCTAGGGCAGTGGTCACCAATCGCGATCGACTGGCCGCATTCCTAGTCCATCGCCAAACATTTCTGTCAAAAACCCAACGTTCCTATTTTTTTTTATTCCTCTTTTTAGCTGCCCTGCGTGCTGGGTAGGCGAAGTGTTCCTATTTTGAACCATTTCACCTGTCTGAAGGTAAAAACTCTGCCTTCCCTGCGTGTCTGGAGAGCAAATCAAGTGCACTATAGGCCTACCGCTGGCCAATCAGATGGCTCAGATTACCATGCCTGCAGTAACGGAGCACGCGTAAAAGAAAGCTACAGCAAAGTTGATACTGTGAGATTTGAAAACTTTTAAAACCATGACTAGAGCGAGAATGTCAACAAATACAGCAATGAGTGAGTTCATGTTTAAGTTCTTACCCAGCTCTGTCAACACTTTTTATTCAAAACTTTTATAAGCCATAAAATGCACGTTCTTCCTACTTCCACTCGTGCTACAACCAGCACTGCAGCAGTAATGAATGAGTAGGAAAGTGTATCTATAGGCTTGCGTTGTTATTATTAGCGGCTTGGGTCTTTTTTAATATTGAGGAATATTTCACTTTCTCTGTTCATAAGAGTAACAACATGAATTTGTGCATGAAATAATGCGGTGCGACTAGAGTTTTCGCCATCAGCTGGAAGACAGTGACTCTTTTTGGTCAGTGTCAGCGGAGGAAAGGGAGAGCGGAGGTACTTTGAGGCGAGCTCTCAGTCTGCTGCTCTCTCCCTCCGCTGAGTCTGACCATCAGATGCAGACTCCATCAGCCGTGTAAAATTATTTAAATGTATGCTCACTCAGCTGTGCCTCACAAGTAATACAACAACTGATCTATTACCGGCGTGATCAGATAGCCTACCTACATTTTTTAAATATAAATATTTTTAAATGGTCAGAAAAACAATGCATTGGCAGGGCAATTCAAGCAAAGCCAATATGCGGCAATAATGTATTGGGCCTATAGCTTACTGCACAAACTTAATTGCTACAGTAATGTTTTAATATGTTAATGTTGCATAGGCTTATGTTTTTTAAGCAATGTTTAAAAAAATCTGAGCGGTAGATCTCTCTCCCTGCCTGTCTCTCTCTCTCTCTCTCTCTCTCTCTCTCTCTCCGCTATCTATCCAATAAAAACAACAACGAAACCTGAACCTTCTTAGATGGGCCTCCTCATGGTTTTCACATAAGAATTAAATCGTAATTATACCGTCATACACAACATGTTTATGATGAAGCTACTGGATTTGCTGAGCTGTAGTTTGACTTGTAGCCTTTTTTAACCACCATGTTTAGTCTTTCTCCAATCAAGTGTTCCGCCACATGACCAGATAACCGTTTGTTTAACCTAAGAGGATGGGAGTGGAGAGAACAGTGAAGTCCATATTTGTGAGGAAAAAGGAGGAGTAGGGATTGTAAAAAACTCTGAATCCCAACTGAAACCATCTAAACTGCCGGCGGGCGGTGACTAAACATCCAGGTTTTTCCATGGCAACCCCATTGTTTGTTTTCCCTTTTTGCACTAAAGAGGGGGAGGGAGCGGTCCCCAATGAAGCGCCTGAGACAATGTCCTTTAAAATACTTTTATATGCGTGTGCCTCTGTGTGATAACTCTTGTCTTCCTCCTTGTAGGTACACCATAGCAATATAATGACTAGAATGGGGAAACCCCCTCAGACCATGGCAATATGAAGTTACAGTAATGGGTACATTCTATTTCTATTAGTAGGGTGCCGCTGCCAAAATGAGGGCAGTTCTTTTGGGCAGAGGAGGAATGACTTGCCCTAGCTGCTCTGTGTACACTGGGTTACGCTCTGGTTCCCAACAGGAGCATTACTTCCATTACACAGCAGTAAAACCATGTCTGGCAATCCCAGAATGGACACAATCTATCTTTGTCTACTCCATCACCTCCATGTGTTGGAATAGGCTGCTGCCCTAAATGAAAGAAATGTCTCTGTTCCAGTTCAATGAGAAAAGCAATTGCCAGGATTGTTAAGGACAACAAGGTCCTCCAACCCTTAGGCCTATCAGTTAAATTGTATTTGTGATTCTGTCTGTATGGATGGGGTTTAAATTGAAAGGATGGTTATTACAGGGAACGTAATGACCTTTGGTCTTAACCTTGTGCCATTAGACTGGGAAATATTGACATAGGACAGAATGTAAATAGCAGAAGGAATCTCGAGGAATGTACATAAGCCATGCGGATAAGGCATGTAGCTTATAAAGGGAGGTACTAAGAAGGCGGACAGATTGTAGAGATTTAAGTTTTCTTTGTCACCTGCCGTTCTGACTTTCAAAATGTAAGATGGGTGGTTTGGTGAATTACGTAATGCCTGCGTGATTAGTAACCTTGTCTGAAGCCAGAAGGCTTGCATTAGCTACCTGAGCAAATGCATAGGCTTTAGCTTAGTGAGCTATCTATCACAATTATAACAAGATTAAGCCCCTGGCATATGAGCTTTGCCACTGGTATGATAGTATTTTCCTTGTAAGGCGGGATCGAGAGGGGAGTACAAGTATTATATGCGTTCATTGTGAACCCAGGTGTGCTCAGCTCATGCAGCACTAAATGAAGGCTTTGGATCCCGTAACCATTATTACCATGAGGTATTTCTGCATCCGTTTTAATCCACCCAAAGATTCTGTTCTGTCCGGGTCTTTAAGATCCAGCTAGACGCAGACTGAACTGTGCAGAGCTAAGCATGACATAATGTCCTTGTAAGTGGAAGGCTTTAGACTCTTGCCGTGGTGCGAGACGGCAAAAGGCAGCACAGCGAGCCAAGCGTGACACAGGTCTTCAGTGTCTCTCACTGGAGCTGCCAGGGGGAGTGGGAGGGGTATGGGGGAAGGGGAGGTGGAGGGCAGTGTACAGTCCAATCATCGAGGCTATATTTACCCCAAAAGAGCCACACTTTCTGTACCCAAGGACCGCCTGTCTGTCTGTCTGCTCACCGTCTGTCTATCTGTCCATCTGTCTGTCAGAAGTCAGTCTGTCAGTCTCCCAGCAACATGTTGCAGGCCAGGCCAAGCCAGGCCAGGGGTAACTAACTGCACTTTGTCGCCAAGTTATTTCCGGATGCAGTCAGTCAGACCCTGGGGATCAGTGTCATGCCTGAAGCAAAGAGGTATGCTGGGTACAGCTATCTATCCCTACAGAGGGAGGCAACATAAGCTTTCTCTGGCATCCTAATAAACTAACAGCACTGTTTATACATAGGGCTTGTTAACTGTACCAAGGATACTCAATTATTTGTGTGTTCTGGAAAGACATTTGTGTGTTCTGTGGACCGAGAAAACATAAGTGTTCACCAGGGACGACCTCATTCATACCGTCTGTTTACAATGTTTATACAGCACCTTTATTATCTTTCATCCAAGTATCACGTGCCACATAAACCTGTGAAATGCTATCTTAAGATTTTATTTTTGCCAGCCAATCAGAAGTGAGCTCTATATCATATAGGAGTCCAGGCAGTTAAGGATATTATTTCTAAGCTGCCTTTGAGTTGTAGTGCTGCACATGGTTGCTTAGTGAAACACTGCCTTGGCAAACACACTTGGCATATGGCGTTAGTCACTGGCTGGCTGATCTGACTGTCAGACAGATAGTGTTATGAAAACGCCAGTCTACTGATGATTACCTCATTGTTGTAATAGGAAGTCCAAGGATGATGACATCACATATTCCATTACCTTATAATGCTGACACGTTTCGTCAGGCTCACAGCGAAATTTCTAAACTTAGCTAAACAAAAATGCCCACATTCTTCTCAGAATTAGAATGGATACAATTTAGGTTATTATTGTTAGTTCTCTCTAGCTCGAGGGACATATTTGTTGTCCAGAAGAATTTAAGACCTTCATTGAAGTTTCTATACTGCTTTACCTTGAGAGCATTATTTTCTCTCTCCCTCTGTCTCTTTCGCCCCCTCTCTTTCTCTTTCCCTTTCTCTTTGTGCATGCAATTCTGTCTATGAAGAATTTCTAGCAAAGCGAGAATTACTTTTCAATGTCAGAGAGAAAGGTTTGATCTTCACGGGAGAGAGAACGGTATTCTCTGCATGACTTGCATCTTTGTCAGTGTTCACATGGATTAGCACACCAAATATACCCAGGACACCAAATATATTCTCACCTGTACCGTCCTGTCATCGAACAGCATGGCCTAAGTTTAGAATTACAACAATGCCCGGTCAGTCAGTGGTCAAGCTCTGTGGTCAAGCAGCTTTGGTTGATTTAATGACTTTTATAATTTGTAGTTCTTCTAGCAGTATACGACTTTATTATTATAACCACATTTCATCATTAGGCCTAGAATATGAACATCCATGAAGGCTTATATACGCGTTTGTTTGTTTGTCCGTTTATGTGTGTTTGTGCATACCTGTGTTTGCGTGGGTGCATCCTTTTGTGTGTGTGTGTGTGTGTGTGTGTGTGTGTGTGGTTTAAAACACGGTGGGTGTCGTGTTTACTAGCGGATTATAGTGATCCCCACAGCTTGATTGAGAAAAGACAAAAGAGAGTGAATGAGAGAAAGGGTGAGGGAGATACTGTCAACTCACAGTATCACATCAAATCTCTCATTCAGACTCCATTTGAAGGGAAGCTATTTTAATCTAGTCTGTGTGAATAACAATCAATATGCTCTGTGTCTATTTTAAGTTCTCTGTGTCAGTCCTCTGTAGCTCAATTGATAGAGCATGGCGCTTGTAACGCCAGGGTAGTGGGTTCGATCCCTGGGACCACCCATACGTAAAAATGTATGCACACATGACTGTAAGTCGCTTTGGATAAAAGCGTCTGCTAAATGGCATATTATTATATTATTATTATTAGTTCTACCGCCCCATTGTCACGATTTGCCAAGTACGACACGCTACCATGCTTTTTCAAAGCAATCATTGGTTGGGTGCTTACGACGGCATGTGCGGTGAACAAAGATATGTTAGGCTATCTGCATTCAGAGAACATTCAGTGAGGGAGAGGTCATAGGGCTGTCACAATTATCGTATAATCGTGTAATCGACAATTATGGACAATAACCGTGAACTGAAATGTGTTTTCGTCATAACCGTCTTAATACATTCATTTTAGATGAAGGCGGCATAACCGTCTTAATACAGTCATTTTAGATGAAGGGGGATTCAACTTTATATTCAAGTTTACCCAATAGCAGTTTTTCATTTTTACATGAATTGGGTAAATCATTTTAGCAGATCGGCAGGGTCAGGAGGAGAAGCTTCATTTCCAAAAGTTGCAAGCGGTCAAAAACATTAGTTTTTAAGACAGGGGTGTCACCAAAGCTGTGTTGTATTCATTAGGTATCTCGTAGCAAATTTTCAAAGATGCTCTATGATCCATTACAAGCTCAAAACATTTATTTGTAATAAAAATTACAATTATGACAATCACTGTAGCCATTTTCATGACAATTAATCGTTACCCCAAAGTCCATAATTGTCACAGCCCTAGGAGAGGACACCTCTGTCTGAAAAGAGGAAAAGGGATAGTTCAGAAACGTTTTTTGGACAAAAAATGTTGTTCTAAAAAAGTATTGTCTTTCCACAAGAGGGGGTATCCTCAATTTACTGTATTTGAGTAGAGCTCCTATTCTACGGTCTCCCAAGGGACTGCAGAAACAAGTCTCAAGACTAGAGCATTGTAAACAAATAGGCCCCCAATAGCCTACTTCATTAAAAAACACAACTTGTTTTTCTGATCTGTTGATTTGGCTGTAGGATTCTTTATATTTTATAAATTCTATTAGGATATAAATATTAATCAGTAACATAGGCGTGGTTATGTAAGCCACATCCCATTTGAGGAAGTCAGCCCCATGTGTCTAAGCCCCTCCCCCTGGGCCCGAGGACAGAGGAATGATCTTCATCCGAGCTCTTTTGAAACGTGAGGAGGTGAATCACAGCTGAACAAGCCAGCACTGGGAACAGAACCTAGCAATAGAACCACAGTGCAGCCACAGCTTACTGTACATACTACACTGATCTATGACCAGTAATGGAGCGACGTAAAGTCCTCAGTGGAAGCGGATGGGAAGCTCATAGAGTGGGACAGAGCAGGGACCAAGCCATGCTGTACTTACTCTCTCTGGCTCAGGAGGACCCATCTTTCCTCACCAATGTGGCTGCACTCATGAAGGTAACAGGGGACAACTCTAATGTTAACACATGTGGAACAGTTGCTGATGTCTCTATATTTAAATGTGATTTGGTATGTGTCTGTGTGTTTGGATGGTGTTATTGAGGCTTGTGTAGGGCGGCAGGTAGCTTAGTGGTTAAGAGCGTTGTGCCAGTAACAGAAAGGTCACTGGTTCTAATCCCCGAGCCGACTAGGTGAGAAATCTGTCGATGTGCCCTTGAGCAAGGCACTTAACCCTAATTGCTCCTGTAATTATTATTATTATTATTATTATTATTATTATTAAGTTGCTCTGGATAAGAGCGTCTGCTAAATGACTAAAATGTAAATGTAAATATATTCATTGTTTCGTTGGTTATAACTGCATTACCAAGAGAGAGCTAGACAGACAAGTTTAAACTGTTAATGCAATTATTGTTTGTTGTTCCAGAATGGATGTGGAATTGGGAGGAAACTATGGGGTGTGTGTTTACGTGTGTGTCTGCCTGTGTCTGCTTGAGTTGGTGTGTGTGTTTGTGTGCGTGGGTGTGTGTGTTTTGTTGAGGTCATAGGCTGTGCATTTGATGAGCCATTCACAATGGTGGCTTTCAGATTAACAGTGGCTTTTTACGGTTTAAAACTGTTTTTAGACTTTGGAGATTTGGCTGGTTAGAGCCAAATGAATCATTCAGATGTTCATTGGCAAACTTCAGACGGGCATGTATACGTGCTTTCTTGAGCAGGGGGACCTTGCGGGCGCTGCAGGATTTCAGTCCTTCACGGTGTAGTGTGTAAACCAATTGTTTTCTTGGTGACTATGTTCCCAGCTGCCTTGAGATCATTGACAAGATCCTCCCGTGTAGTTCTGCGTGGTGAGATCTTGCATGGAGCCACTCAGAGAAACATCCGGGGGGTGGGGGGGGGGGGGGGGGGGGGGGGGGGGGGTTTGGCTGTTGTCTCATTAATAGAGGCATCATTGGTTTTGAATGCAAGCCAGTTCGACCAGGGAAAACAAGTTTCCTCTCGAACATAGTCAGTGATACAGGCTGCATCCCAAATGGCACCCTATTTTACCCTATGGGACCTGGTCAAAAGTAGTGTACTATATAGGGAATAGGGTATCATTTGGGACAGAGACACCAGCACAGGATGCTGCTGGAGGGCTAGTCTTCCATGTGGCTGTTTGAAGCTTCCGTTCCAATTAGCGCGAGCTAGTGACTAGTGTCACAGAAACTGCCGTGTTTTTCATCTGCCTCCCTGGAACTGTGCATGATAAAAAAGCAAGAGGAAGAAACAAAAGAAGAAAGAGGTCAATCATCAATGTGGTTGTTTTCCAAGTGTTCACTGCACTAAGGAGATTGTGAGGTTCTTTTATCCCTTGGGTTATGAGTTGTGAAGAATGCCATTGTATCAGTGAGACTCTCTGAATTTGTTCTTGGTAACTCGGCGGGTGTCCTTGTTGCATGTCTACAGTGCAACATTTAAGCAATACCAAAACATGTTCCAATCCAACGCCTGACGAGATGCCTACGATATGGGCATTCCCCACAGGGGTGTTTGGTATTTTCCGGACGTCTTCTAGTTGTTGAGCAGACGTTAGAAAAATACAGATTTAGGTTGTTTTCTGGTCAGTATATACACTGAGTGTACAAAACATTGACATAGACTGACCAGGTGAAAGCTATGATCCCTTATTGAGTCACTTGTTAAATCCACTTCAGGAGGCAGGTTAAATAATGTTTTTTAAGCCTTGAGACATGGATTGTGTAAGTGTGCCATTCAGAGGGTGAATGGGCAAGACAAAATATTTAAGTGCCTTTGAATGGGGTATGGTAGTAGGTGCCAGGCACACCTGACGTTATTGTAACCAGTTTTGCTCACTGGGAAAAGGATGCAGAAGTGCATAACAAGGAGGACAAGAGACTGAGAGAGAGGAACAGAAAAAAGGAAGAAGAGAGAGGCTGGTACAATTACTGATTCACATTGGAAAGAAGGCTAGAATGAGGAAGAAATGCTTGGATACAAAGAATAGGCCTAGTCGTTAAATGTTAAGGAGAGTGGCATGTGGGAAAGATACTGACTTACTCAAAGAAAGAGGATGTTGGGAGAGTGAGGGATAGATAGTCAGAGTCCCGGTGCTCAAGGAATGCCTGGAAATAGATGGCTAGAAATGAATGTGCCGGAATGTCCCAACGAGGAGCATCAATCACTTTCTGTAAGACGCCATTAATCCTCACTCGACTCTTTATCAAATCTCTCACGTCAAGCAATTACCCTAACATTTTACTGGAATGTTATCTCCTTTGACTTTCTTAACTGTACACTTCATTTACTCATTTAATCACTGACACTCGGTTAGCTTAACAGGCTAAGTACATTCTGCTAATATGATAAGGAAAGCTAATGATGCTTAGAGAGCTCGCTATGAGTGTGTTGTGCTGTCAGATTTTGTCTGTTGATGAATTATTAATGGCGGTGGGAGGAAGAATGACTCAGTAAACAGTGCAGAACAACATTAAATAACAAGGAATGAGTCATGGCTAATTGGAACGTGGGTGGGTTAGTTGGTGGAAAGAACTGCCATCTCTGAATTGCAACCAGTTTGACTATAGAGAAGTACTGTCAACCCGGACCTTGGCTTTTCTGGGTCTGTTGGTTCAAATCCCAGGTTGGCCATAGCAGGGATGGACCTTGTTGTACAGTATTTTACTTCTCATTAAGTATTTTCCTGTGGAGCAGACAGACTGCAGTGTAGTCGTAAGGCTGGTTGTGGTTTAGACTTGTGACTGAGCTTATCCCTTGAGTCACGCTTTAGCAGATAAGGAAAGAGGCCCATTTGGAATAAGTCTCTAGCTTGGCTGGGAAATCCAGTCAGCAAGCTGGATCTGCTACTACCGCAACGCTACCTCAACGCTGGAGCAACATCAAATTCAACTCTTCCATCTGAATAGGTCAGACATGAGAACATGCAGTATGTACACTAGGTAGGAATGTGAGTCAGAGGCTTGTTTATTGATGGCACTAAATATATTTAATTGTCAGCCCTACACCTCCCTGTTTACACAGGTCTGGAGACAGTGGAGGGGTTTGGGGGTGGGACTCTGTAGAAGGGCTGTGTTTGTTTATCTGTCTCAGGCAGGGAGACTTGGATTTATTTGAGTGGGACTCCAACGAGCCACACTGTCCTCCTAGAGCTGTGCCTTTTCACACGTCCACTATGAGAGTAAGTAGCCCATTCTGATTTGCTGACTTTGATTTGCTGTACTGTAGATGATCAAATAGAATTTTCATTGGTTGATTGATTTAATAATTGATAGTTGTTTTTTGACTCTTGAACATGGTGAACTTTAAACAACAAAATAAACAACTTAGTTATGAGGGCGTCTAATTGAATAATCAAAAGCTATATCACAATCTTTGAAATCGGTTGACCAGTTGTCTCTATTCAGATTTCTGTAGCAGGTAACCAGTTTCTGATTATTCTCACTGCTTATACTATATAAAACTTTGCAGACGTTGTTTAGTATTAGGTCTGTGGCCTACATATACTGAACAAAAATATAAACGCAACATGCAACAATTTAAAAGATTTTGCTGAGTTACAGTTCATATAAGGAAATCTGTCAAATGAATTAAATTCATTAGGCCCTAATCTATGGATTTCACATGACTGTTCAGGGGCGCAGCCAGGGGTGGGCCTGGGAGGGCATAGGCCACCCACTTGGGAGCCAGTTCCACCCACTGGGGAGCCAGGCCCAGCCAATCAGAATGAGTTTTTTCCCACAAAAGGGCTTTATTACAGACCTAAATACTCCTCCGCACCCCCCCGAAAGTACAAAACCGAAAGTAAAAGAAGCATAAACAAAATGTAAGAACGGGAAGCATAGAAATAGCGCACATGGAACAGATCTACCGCTTCTTAGACTTGCTTTCAAGTAGAATAATAGATCTGTAACTTTTCTATGTGAATTTGGTCGGGTCGTCCAAAAAGTTACATATTGACACTTTGTCTGTGGTGGCCTGGGATCTGAACATAAAAACACCTTAGGCGCTGGGAGCTCTGCTTGCAAAACAAAAGAGTGTACTTCGTGCTCAAACAAGAGGAGTAGAGGTGCTGAAATGGTGCATTAGAAGGTGAGGTGCTCCACTCTTGAAGGTCTTTTTAGACACTAGCTCTGCTTGCAAAAAGCGAAGAAAAAAAATGTACTAGCAATTTGCTGGAGTTAGCAAAGTCCTGGCTACCAGTCACTGAACATAGGATCAGAAAATCACATAATGTGAAGGTTGCTTCTACACTAATTTGACACTGTGATGCTGATTTATGTACAGAGAAACACATGGGTATTACAGCAACAGAAATCAGTCTAGGCTCTTTGAACCTAGCCACTATATTCAGACAGTCTGTTCGAATGACACAGAGATTATGTTGACTGTCGGACTGTTGGACTGTCGGTTAACTTTCTAACAGCATCAAAGTCTGCAAAAAGTAAACATGCCCACATAGAGGTGGTGTGAATAGAGAGAACATACAGTATGTTATCCAGACATTCTTTGCAGACCTGGGTTCAAATAGTATTTTCTTCCAAATATTTACGCAGCACTGTCTGGCACAATGGAACCAATGGTATAGTCCCAAAAGTGTAAGCCTGCCCGTATGGCACTCCAGGCCGGGTCGATCAAATGCTCAAAGTACTTGAAAACAAAAACAAATACTTTTTGAACCCAGGTCTGATTCTCTATAGTCCAGGGCTATGCACTGCCAGCCAGGTCCTGTTACATGGTATAAGAGAAAAGCTGATGGATTTGTTGTGCCATTCAAACTTTAAAGGCCCAAGAACGCCTGCTGTCGGTATGCTCTGTTTCTTAATAGGCTACATTCTTAGCAAACAAAAATGCAGGGAACAAGAGACACCACATTTCCTATGTTTTCCTCAGATGTTGGTGTTGTCAGGCCTGCATTTTCTAGACCTAATTCACTAATCAGTGAATCCAGAGAGGAAAGGCATGGTGCCATTTTCAGATGAAAGCCAGTAAGATGTGGGTGTTGTGCATTACAAATGGAGGCTCCACTGTTGATGTGCTTCCTTCTCATATCTCTAGTGAACATATTGTAGCCCAGGGCTTGTTCTTCTAACCCTCTGTTAAGTGAAGCTGGCTAGCTCAGTTTACAGGTTAAGGTAATGTAGGGTTTGGTGTGTAGAACCCCCATCAGAGGACCCCTCTTACCTAAATCACAGGAAATCACTGTCTGAGTGCGCATCAAACAGGTCTAGAGCCTACCTCCCTCCTACCTCCTGACAACATTAGTCACGTGCTACATGTATCCCTAGTTAGTTAGGTGTTACCTAGTTTGTTTTAGACCTTGCTATCAAATCTTACTGAGTAATGTGGTGGTGGTGCTATTTCTATTTCCATGAGATCAACAAAGTTGATCAAAACGTCTCCTTCGTCTGAAAATACAAAACATACTTCATCCGAAAAAAGTGAAATGGATTTATTATTACGTTTTATAATATTCTTTGTCTGTGTTTATCTGTCTGACCACTGTATTCTACTGACTGCCTAATAACCTTTTCACACTACTTAGTCGAGCTGAGCTGTACTGCGCTGGCCCGGTTACCGGAACCGTGCTGGAAAGATCAATGTGAAAAGAAAATCCAAGTCAGCACAATACAGTTGGTTCGACACATTAGAGGGAAAAGGGTACTAGTATCTCTGTAAGACCAGAGTCACTGCGTCTGCAGCACGGGGTTTACAGCAGGGGCCAGTTGACCTTTAGGGGTTAGAGGTCACCTTAGAGGTCACCTGGTGATGCAGCAGTCCATTGCTGCTCAGAGGTGGGCCAGCACACATCTTAGAATGACACCTGTTTCTACAATCACTGTGTTTGTGAGACCCCCGAGTAGGAGCTCTAGACACTGGTAATGCACTGCAAGCTGTGCTACGTCTTGTTGTTTCAGGGGTGCACAGGCAGCCTATATGTCTGCTCATTGGGATCAAGACACGGTTGTCAGTATAGTACCTACTGTCAACCTACTAACTTCGAATAGGTTTTTTCCCTGACCACGTGACCTGGCTCTTGGCCCCAGTTATAGGCAATGACACAATAACTATGAACACACCAACATCCACAAACATGTCAGTTAAGGGAGTTTTATTTTGTTTGGTAGGAGTGTGATCTGTACTGCGTATTAGGCAGGCTTGGTCTGGCCTAGCCATGGCTGGAGCTAGATCTGTCCCTGATAAGACCTGGTTCCTCCACACAGGAAAGACGCCATCACTGGGGGGAAGATGGGTTCTGGGGAAGGGTCCTGTTTATCTCCACCCACCTCTGAATTGCTCATTTCCAGATTGGCATCAGTGGCAGCCACACACAGGAAATGAGATTTGGGGTGAGGGCGAGGAGGAGGACATATTTGCAGCTGAGGCTGGATGTAATCAGTTCTTCTATGTTTCTGTCTGTCCACAGGAGAGGCAGAGGTTGGAGACCATCCTGAACCTGTGCGCCGAATACAACAAGGGCGACGGGCCCTTGGGGGGCGAGGCGGAGGGGAGGATGGGCTTCCCTGGGGGCCTGGGACCGGTGGAGGGGGCAGCCAGTAGACCCTGTATGGACAGCTCGGTGCATCGTAGCATGGCCCAGAGACAACAGAGGGAGAGCGACGAGGAGAACCTCAAGGAGGAGTGCAGCAGTACGGAGAGCACCCATCAGGAGGTGAGGACGCCACTTCCTCCACAGGCCCTCCACAATGGAGACAGATATCAGGTCAGACGCAGGGCCGTCTATTTTCACTTTCATCATTTGTAGTACTTACTATGAGAACTACAGGCATGACATACTAGTACTTACTATGAGAACTACAGGCATGACATGCAAGTACTTACTATGAGAACTACAGGCATGACATACTAGTACTTACTATGAGAACTACAGGCATGACATACTAGTACTTATTATGAGAACTACAGGCATGACATACTAGTACTTACTATGAGAACTACAGGCATGACATGCAAGTACTTACTATGAGAACTACAGGCATGACATACTAGTACTTACTATGAGAACTACAGGCATGACATACTAGTACTTATTATGAGAACTACAGGCATGACATGCAAGTACTTACTATGAGAACTACAGGCATGACATACTAGTACTTACTATGAGAACTACAGGCATGACATACTAGTACTTACTATGAGAACTACAGGCATGACATACTAGTACTTACTATGAGAACTACAGGCATGACATGCAAGTACTTACTATGAGAACTACAGGCATGACATACTAGTACTTACTATGAGAACTACAGGCATGACATACTAGTACTTATTATGAGAACTACAGGCATGACATACTAGTACTTACTATGATAACTACAGGCATGACATGCTAGTACTTACTATGAGAACTACAGGCATGCCGTTGATATGAGAACAGCATGCAAGTGCTTACTACATGCATTTAAAGTGGAAAATTGCTAGACATAGCCTGACCTAGACATAGCCTGACCTAGACATAGCCTGACCTAGACATAGCCTGACCTAGACATAGCCCGATTTTGACATAGCCTGACCTAGATGTAGGCTGACCTAGACATAGCCTGACCTAGACATAGCCCGATCTTGAATTCTGAAATGATTGATGGTCAAAAGGACACAGCATGAAGTTCACAACATTTGTTTGCCAAGCAACAGTGTTTAACATGGAGGCATGTGATGTGAATAGTCCCTCCCTAATGTGTGTGTCTGTGTGTGTGTGTGCGTGCAACATGGTCAGAAACAGTTAACTACTGCACATGGGGCCATGCTCTTCGCACTTATATGTAACAATGTGCCTGCCTCTTCTGTCTCTCTCCCCCTTCAGCATGAAGAGCAGTCTGTTTCGTGCGGTGTGGGGCGGGCAGAGCTGGGTTACCTGGAGGACGAGAGGGTCAGAGTGCTGTCCCGAGTCGACGAGCTCAAATCACGAATCACAGAGCTGGAGCAACAGCTACAGGAGTCCAAGCAGGAGGTAGGAAAGTCCATCAGTTCAATTTCCAGATGGTAGGCTACTTCTAATACTAGAAAGATATGTGGGGAAGCTCAATGAAACTATACTGTGTGTGTGTGTGTGTGTGTGTGTGTGTGTGTGTGTGTGTGTGTGTGTGTGTGTGTGTGTGTGCATATGTGTGTGTGGTTCATTCACAGACATTTAGTCACACAAACAAGCAGAAAGTGATAGAATGAGCACTGGGTGGTGTCACGTCACACGCACCGCTAGGCTGTGATTGGTCTGCTGTCTGTCAGAGAGCTCTGTGATTGGAGCAGGGGGCTCAGGGGGGCTCATGTATGACGTGTGTGTGTGTGTCCCGTTCCCAGGCGGAGATGGAACGGGCGCTGCTGCAGGGGGAGAGGCAGGCGGAACTGGACCAGATAGAGGCGGAGACGGAGATCATTGGACAGCTGCAACACAAGCTGAACGAGCTGGAGAACGCCATCCAGAGGGATAAAGACAAGGTAGGGCATTGGGGGAAAAGACACACACACACACACACACACACAGAGCATAATCTCCTGTACACAGTAAGCAGTCTTACCACCTGCGGATTAGTTCTAGCTTCATTTATAAACTTCTCATTACAACGTTACTGTGTTGTATTTTAATGGAGAAAGTAATTTTGTTAGTGAACTGTTTGTGTTGTCCTAGCACTCTGAGAGAATCCTTATTGGAAAGATGGTGGGTATGCAGACAGGGAGGTGAGATTTGTGAGATTTCAACATTGTGTTGTTTAAACACCACAGACACAACCCAATCCTCCTTTCCCTCCACTGGACTGTCTGTTATAGGGCCTGTTCAGGAGGATGTAACATTACAGAACGTTCACATAGAAATGTATCCTGTAGAACAGGAATACCATTTTCTGACGGATAGAAAAGGGATTCATGGCATCTTTATTCGTGATATTTCTATCTGCAACGTTCCGAACGTTTCACATCACTGAATATACAACTTGTAAGCCTCAAAGGGACTGAACAGCCTTTTCTGGTCTCTTGACATTCCTTAAAGGCATTGCCAAATCCTGGATGGCTTCCCAAGACCGTATCTAGTTGGTTTTGCCATCCCAAGGTAAATTCACCCAGCCATAGCAGTCGCTCTTCAACCCCCCCCAGCGAGGAATGCGCCATCCTTCCATCTGTTATATGTATTGATTTTTTACCTTCGAAGAGCTTTGGACGATGGCACTTAGACTTAATATGTGTTTTTTCTTTATTTTTGTTATTTTATTTTCCTTGGTGGTTTCTCTCTCTCTCTCCTCAGGGCTTTTTCTTCTTCTTCTGCAGCTCGGCTCCACTAACCAGCCTCCATTAACCTCTAATCCTCTCACTGCTTCACTCAGCAACTTCCTCTCCTCCTTTCCCTCTCCTCCTTTCCTCCACTGTCCACTGTCCTGAAATCCATCTAGGTTATTAGCACTTGTCTTAAATGTGTCCCAAATGGCACCCTATTCCCTATATAGTGCACTACTTTTGACCAGGGCTCATAGGGCTATGAAGGGAATAGGGTGCCATTTGGGATGTAGGTGTGAATCGATCCTTTGGGTTTCTACTTCGCTGAAGCTTTCAGGACTGGATGCTAGTGGGTATGAGTGGCTGGTTACTAAAAGTATATCTGTGGGAGTCCTTTTAGGACAATTGTGTAGGCTACACCGCAGACTGCATTCATACTTCACAACATTACAGAGGGTCTCTATCTGAAGGCTTTACACAACTGTATGTTGTTTTCACCTAGTCATGTCACTCCACTGTTGTAGGCTTTATGTAGACACACTTAAACTGAGAACCTGAAAGGCTTAATTTTCTTGTCTTTCCTTCTTAAGGCTTTTTAAAAATCTTGTTATTTGTATATTACTGACAATTTTGGAGAGTCTCTCGCTTCCTGTGTTCAAGGTAGAACCTTGAGACCCTGTTGGTCTGGCTCAGTTAAAACTACAAATCAAAACAAAAGCTTAAACTTGAAAACTACCTGTATTGTATTGTCCCCTTCTCTACTTTTATTGCCATTGGTCACAGACAGGGGTGTAGCCAGAGCAGGGTGACAGTTAGGCAGATTGAAGAAAAGGAGTGCCACTCAAACCCCAAAGCACCGCCCACACCCCTCTCCCACCCAGTGACTTTAGAGAATGCACTAATGCTAAAAAGGTTATTGGTCTGCAGAACATGTCCCTCTCTTTCGTGCATGGTCTACTCTACTGGTTATACAGTGGTGGCCCTCTAGAGGTAGTTTATCAGGGACTTTCACTACAATCAGACCCATGCTATAACTCCGTCTCTCCTTAATTCCATACATCCTCTCCTCTTCTTCTCAAAACATATTGGAGGAAAAGATCCAAGGTTCTTCCACTTTGACCTTCCATTGCATTTCGAAGGAGACGAGGAGAGCCCACGCGGGGAATCGAGGAGAGACTATTGCGAAAGAGCTCCATACTGTACCAGAGAGAGCTTCTATTTCCTCCAGGGGTTTTGATTTCATATCACAGCCTGGGTGTCAGAGCACTAGAGTTACCCATGCTTACACTGCCTGCACTCACATGCTGCAATAACAACAAAGATCTGTTGTTATTGATCGTTCCGTAAGCTTTTAACCAGACGCCCAGAGGGGACCCAACCCTGCTACCCTTCAGTTAACAGCAGTTCATGCTTTAGCAGTGGACCTTACTATTATCAAGTGTTTTGTTTAATTTGGTATGAGTGAACCCACGAAGTGCCTGGAAAATAACGGATAGGTATTTTCTGCCGATGTATAATACAGTAGTTGACATTTTCTTTCAAGCACAATAGCAACCAACCATGATAACTAAAGCAACAAACTAATTAGTAACGATATGCTGCTCATGGTTCATTTTGGGAAGCCCGAAGAAGCATGAATGTGACTTCTGATCATTCAGGCATGCCTACACATCCAGTTATAAACCTATTCAAAACTAACTGGACTGACCTAAAGTATTAATACCAAAGCCACATGAAAATCTAGATAGGCCAATAATATATATATGTTTTTGTAAGCCACATGAAAATCTCTCTATCTTCAGAAACAACAAAAAGAGTAGAAGTACTCTGATGTGAAAAAACAACAACAGCTGAGCCAAAACAAATAAACTATTCCCATTTCATGTTTGATGAAATAGCAAAATCTCCTGTTCTGTCGCAGACCAGTGTTACCATGAGCATCGAACCCTGCTGCTTGGAAATGTCTGGGAACAAGAAGTCTGTTTGGACCTGTTTGAGGCCTGGGTCGTGTTCATTAGGCACCGAAAGGGGGAAAAAACTGATTTAAACAAGGCGGAACTACCTAATTTTTGCTTTCAATTGCAGTTTTTAAAAAACATTTTCAGTGTTGTGCCCTAATGAACACAACCCTGCAGTCCAGCACTTTTAAAGTTAGTCACTGGGGATTGATTTCACAGTACTATAAACTCCACAGATGCCCCATGTCCCTCCTCTGGCTTATCCACTGTTGTGACCTCTAACATCGGAAGCATTTTGCATGGCGTGGATTTGAGCAAGTGTGTTTTTTTTGCTTTCTCTCTCTGTTGTCTCCCCCCCCCCCCCCCCCCCCCCCCCCCTTCCTCTCCTCCCTCCCACCCCGGACGGTGTGTTCTCTTTCTAGGAGAGGGCAAATGTTGACGCAGAGCGCCGAGCCCTGGAGAGCCTCCAGGAGGGCTACAGTGAGCTGAAGAACCAGCTTCATAACTGCCCAGAGTCACTGAGGGAGCATTTACACGAACAGCTCAAAAGGGTCAGTCGCCAACCACCACCAAGACCACCACCCCCAACCACCCCTGAGACCCACCTCCAGAGACAGCCAGCATCCTCCCAGCCCTAGTACCCCTCCACACACCCACCCACTCCCTCCACCCTCGTCTCTGAGCTACGCTAATCCACCATTTTGAAGGGAAATTCCAGCAGCGCCACATCGCAATTAGCGTATACTTACCTCCAGATTATTGAAGTACCCAGTAAGACAATGACATGTTCAGGAAAAGCTGAAGTGGTGTCCTTACGGATTTACAAGTATAATGTCTACTGATCTCCTGGATAAAGTGCATAGAAGGCTGCACTTGACGGCCAAAGAAACTGAATTGGAATTCAAATTCTATGATGATAACTGATGTAAAACGTTCGTAATATCCAAGAAGATGGCATACAGATTTTATGGTAGGTTTCCTGGACACAGATTAATCCTAGATCTGGACTAAAAAGCGTGCTCAATGGAGAATCCACATTGAAAACGCTTTATAGCTCTGGACTAGGCTTAATCTGTGTACAGGAAACCTGCCTTTAATGTTTATGCCAGATGCCAGTCTGTGATTGCTGCACAGTAGGCTACACCATCTTGGTATCATAAGACCTGGTGCATACCTCTTCAGATACTGTTACTGGGACCTTTACCCCTTTAGCCGGGACCTGTTGCACTCTGCACGTATGAAAATCCTGTCTTGTGCCCCTCGCCTACGTGCTAATGCCACAAGCTGCTGGAATTTCTCCTCTCCTCTTTCCGCCTCAACGATGTGCCTCTGAGCAAACAGAAGGAGTGTCAAAATGGCGTCTGGTGACTTCGGTGGCGAGGTGCTGCATTGTGGTGATTTCTGGGTCATATGTGTGTTGCATGCGTTTCACACAGGAGTGTGTGTTGTCTGTCTGGTTGGTACAGTCTCTGAGTCTGGAAGCATCCCTCTCTTCTTATAACCCCTTAATAACTGCTTACTAATTTATTAATGTAGACACTTACCACCACTCCCTGTCCTACTCTCTTTTCATATCTTTCCTCTGAATGGAAATGTGTTTGTTTTTTGTCTGAATAATGTTTTATATCGTCAGCTCTCTGAAAAGTCAGTCCATAGAAAATGAATCTTGCATTTTGTCAGGCAGTGCAACTATTTATCAGCCAATTACATTTTGCATGTTAGCTCTATTCACTTAGAGTAGCATGACATATTGGCTGACTGACTTGACATGAGAACAAATGCTATACAATTTCCCTTCGTTACAGTACAGAAAGCGGATATAATACATGTTGTATACTTCTACATTTGCAAATGCCGCCTTGTACATCTCATTGGGTCATGTTCATTAGGCACCGAATGGAGGAAAATGGACTGAAGTGGGGGGGTGTTTTCCGTTGCGTACACTGATGAACACGACCCTGATTTGCTGTGGACGTTCTTCAGAAGTGCGACACAGGCCCTTGAGGCCCTTGTCTTTCCCTCTCTAAAGCATAAGTGGCCCTCACTCACAAATCTGTGGGGGTTTCTTGGGTTTATGGTAAAGGATCAAGACATTCAGTTGGGTTCTCACATGGAAATCAGCTATAAAATCCAGTATATAAGATAGTACTGTATAAGTATTTACAGTTGAAGTCGGAAGTTTACATACACCTTAGCCAAATACATTTAAACTCAGGTTTTCACAATTCCTGACATTCAATCCTAGTAAGAATTCCCTGTCTTAGGTCAGTTAGGATCACCATTTTATTTTAAGAATGTGAAATGTCAGAATAATAGTAGAGAGAATTATTTATTTCAGCTTTTATTTCTTTCATCACATTCCCAGTGGGTCAGAAGTTTACATACACTCAATTAGTATTTGGTAGTATTGCCTTTAAATTGTTTAACTTGGGTCAAATGTTTCGGGTAGCCTTCCACAAGCTTCCCACAATAAGTTGGGTGAATTTTGGCCCATTCCTCCTGACAGAGCTGGTGTAACTGAGTCAGGTTTGTAGGCCTCCTTGCTCGCACACGCCTTTTCAGTTCTGCCCACACATTTTCTATAGGATTGAGGTCAGGGCTTTGTGATGGCCACTCCAATACCTTGATTTTGTTGTCCTTAAGCCATTTTGCCACAACTTTGGAAGTATGCTTGGGGTCATTGTCCATTTGGAAGACCCATTTGCGACCAAGCTTTAACTTCCTAACTGATGTCTTGAGATGTTGCTTCAATATATCCACATAATTTTCCTTCCTCATGATGCCATCTATTTTGTGAAGTGCACCATGTCCCTCCTGCAGCAAAGCACCCCCACAGCATGATGCTGCCACCCCCATGCTTCACGGTTGTGATGGTGTTCTTCGGCTTGCAAGTGACCCCCTTTTTCCTCCAAACATAACGATGGTCATTATGGCCAAACAGTTCTATTTTTGTAATCATCAGACCAGAGGACATTTCTCCAAAAAGTACGATCTTTGTCCCCATGTGCAGTTGCAAACTGTAGTCTGGCTTTTTTATGGCGGTTTTGGAGCAGTGGCTTCTTCCTTGCTGAGCGGCCTTTTAGGTTATGTCGATATAGGACTCGTTTTACTGTGGATATAGATACTTTTGTACCTGTTTCCTCTAGCATCTTAACAAGGTCCTTTGCTGTTGTTCTGGGATTGATTTGCACTCTTCGCTCCAAAGTACGTTAATCTCTAAGAGACAGAACACGTCTCCTTCCTGAGCGGTATGACGGCTGCGTGGTCCCATGGTGTTTATACTTGCGTACTATTGTTTGTACAGATGAACGTGGTACCTTCAGGCATTTGGAAATTGCTCCCAAGGATGAACCAGACTTGTGGAGGTCTACAATTTTTTTTCGGAGGTCTTGGCATGTTGTCAAGCAAAGAGGCACTGAGTTTGAATGTAGGCCTTGAAATACATCCACAGGTACACCTCCAATTGACTCAAATGATGTCAATTAGCCTATCAGAAGCTTCTAAAGCCATGAAATCATTTTTTGGAATTTTCCAAGCTGTTTAAAGGCAAAGTCAACTTAGTGTATGTAAACTTCTGACCCACTAGAATTGTGATACAGTGAATTATAAGTGAAATGATCTGTCTGTAAACAATTGTTGGAAAAATTACTTGTGTCATGCACAAAGTTGATGTCCTAACCGACTTGCCAAAACGATAGTTTGTTAAGAAATTTGTGGAGTGGTTGAAAAACGAGTTTAATGACTCCAACCTAAGTGTATGTAAACTTCCGACTTCAACTGTAGGTATTACTACAGTAAAAGCACAGTATTACCTTTTGTAACATATAGATAGATAGCGGCCCTTTTGGTTTCTCATTTTTGGGATTATTATTGGTGCAGCAGAGAAGACTGCTTGTCACCAGTCAATCAAACTACTGGGCTATAAAATCTTCCAACAACTTAGATTTGCATGAGGGAGTTTCCTCCAGATATGCATGTAATATTGATAGCTGTGTTGCTGCTGCTTTATACCACAACATTTTCCCAATGTTATGGTGCTTCTCCATTGGTGGCATAGTTAAGAACCTAGGATACAATGAAGAGAGAGTCTAATGGCAAAGTTAACCCAAATAGCAATAATATTCAAGTCTATCAAAGAATGATCAAAGTAGTCATAGTGCTTAACAGAACTCCTCCAATCCTTAGATAGAACCTCCATCTGCAGCTTACTCTGTGTCTCTGTCTAAAATGACAACGCAGCACTCTTCTGAAGCACGTTCTTTCCATGGCTTACCGCCCTGGGTTGAGCTGGCTTGGCCTGGGCCTTGACTGCCACGGCTGAGGAGCATGGTCATTGGAGAGAGCCAAGGGGGTGGAGGGGGCTGGCCTGACCCTGTGTTGACCTTGTGGGGTGTGGTGGGGCTGTCTGGCTGTCTGTCTCTTGGGGTTAGTAGTTGTTGGTACTTTAGAACCCTTTTCACACTATCATGCCAACCCACAACAGACTGTGCTGGCTCAAGTATTTTCTTCACACATTGTGCTTTCTAGCACGGTTCCAGCAACTATGCTGAATGGATGAATGCGTTACCAAGCAAGCCAAATACAGCTCGGCTTGGCTTGGCTCAGCAGTGTGAAAACGGTATATTATAGAAGGCTGAGGCCTGGTGTGGTTGTGACACATTGTAATGGGCTCTGTGTGGGGTTCGACAGGAGGGCGAGACCCTGGAGTCAGAGACAAAGCAGTTTGAGGACCTGGAGTTCCAGCAGCTGGAGAGGGAGAGCAGCCTGGAGGAGGAGAGGGAGACCATCAGCCAGCAGCTGCTGCAGGAGAGGGCCGAGTACCACACCAGCGTGGCCAAGAGGAAGGTAATGGACTGAACTGGAACAGAGTGGCTGCTCCTATTTATTCTGGCAACCCTCCATCATATCTGGAGCTGTGAATATGAATGTCTGTCAGAGAAACTAGCTCATTTCTGATGATGGCCAAATGCCTTTACAGGTTGAGTGTAAATAATATGTTCATTCATGTCAAGAATGGTGTTGTGATACGTGATTACTGCTTTGTTATGGGTGTATATTTTCTCAATTTAAAGTAATCTTGTTTAGTACCCCTTTAATTCAGCAATAACTCTCTAAACATGTTGTCTTCCAGGACAAGGTGGCAGCTCTAGAAGGCCAGGCCAGTCAGCTGGGACAGCAGGTGTCTCAGGAGTGTGACAGGCTGGCTAAGGACATGAACCTTACCCTGCAGATGCTCCATAAGGTAACATTATAATACAGTCCATATCTGGCCCAGCAACCACTCTACAATCTACACATTATTACTCTGTTTTTGGTAATTGGACTGGTGATTCCCATGAAACCCCTTTGAAAATGACTATAATTTGAATCTAATCATTATCACTCTCTGGTCTTGCTTGACAATGTGAGAATCACACACAAAGTCATTACCACATGAAGGGCAATGTGCCATGCCAGCTGCCTTAGATTAAGTCAATTAATTAAGAGTTTGTTGGCATTTCTTCCCATTTGTCGACATTTCACTTTCGATCTCGGCATATGTGCTGCCTTGTCCCCGGCTTTTCTGCAAGTGGCACATTTTCTAATTTGGTAAAGAAACTATAGAAATCCATAAGCAGGACAGAGTCAGATACTTAGATAGTTTCAGTAATGTAACATGCAAGATGTCTTAATACAACCATACTGTAACCAGGGGATAGTGATGGGTGAGGTAAGCTGTCATCTGGTCTTGTCTCATGTGTTCTGGTGTCTCTGTGTTCTAGGAGAAAGAGAGACTATCGGCCTTAGAGAAGAGGTACCTCAGCCTTACTGGAGGAAGACGTTTCCCTAAGAGTTCCAGCACCATGAAAGAGGTGAGGGGGGTTTATCTTACTTTCTTTCAGGGGTCACACCTACAAGGACAGTTATCTACCATGATGCAGATATATGAATGGACCTCTGCTCTGATCACTTGTCTAAAGCCACACTCCTTCATTTGTGTATACCCTCAAAGACCAACAAAGACCACCAACAAAAATGTTAACAATGGAGAAAATGCACTCCATTACATTTTCATATGCAAATAGTAGGCTTAGGCTACTAGATTTCTATGATACATATATTGTTCTCAATGAATTATGCAACTTTACTTCAAGTTACAAAATCACAGACTGTGGCTTTAAGGGGAATTTGATGGTTTTCATAGTTGAGATGGTAGAATGTTTAACTGGTGAATAGGACTTCATATATGACTTCAGGTTGATATCTCTCTCTCTGTTTTACCTCCGGTGTTGGTCTGGTGTGTGCTTGTTCTACCACTGGTGTGCCAGAGTAACCATTTATTTACTGTGTTTAACACGATGTGGTGCCGGCTTGTGAAGTATGGCCTTATTTACACTGCGTTCGGATGGTTGGATACAGCTGATCACATCAGTCAGACTGGTTTGATCTGATAATTCAGATCCGACTTGACATATTTTTTGGATTGGAAACATCTGCAATTTGATGATGGATTGCACATAATACCTCAACTCAGGTCAGCGAGATACTGAATCCGCGGGCTGTGTTTATTCTGAAAACATGAACCGATTAGTCTCGTACTAAACTCTCGTCCAATTCTGACATATCCTATCAACCTGCATTCCTATGCATTTAGACCAAGTTCATTACATGAGATGCCAATCAGTTTCGTTGTTGAATTGGATATAATGGACTTTTTTAGACCAATGTAAACTAGGCCTATTAAACTGAATTGTTTGACCCTTTTGTGATTGACAGTTATTATCCCAATACTGTATTGACACCTAGTGTAGGATAGAGGGACATAAACCATAACTGTACACTACAGCAACAGGAGCTGAAACCAGTGTCCCTGACTTCCTGTTGAAACAGGAAGTGCTCCATATCAGCGAGATTGACCTGTTAGAGGACTCCCACTCCCAGCATCCTCTCTGCCGACCCGCTGCTTCCTATTTAAGCCCCTCCTCTCAGTTATTCCCAGGGGGCATCCCGACAGAGGTAACCAGACTAGACTGCCAGTGTAACTGTCACTGCATGACACCTGAGCTCACTCACTGTAACCCCGCTATGCACAGTCTGTGTTTGTCCAAAACTTAAAGGCCTACTCTGTGATATTTACAGCATTATAGGAAACCAAGTTGCAAGGTTGCCATTTTATTGTTGTTTTTTAATTAAGGAGTGGGCCTTTAAGAGGTCTGCGTGAGTTATGGCTTGTTACCCCCAATGACTCCCAGCAAATTGCAACCCGCCCCCCATATGTAGCTTAAAAACACATTAGGCCCATAAAGTACAGTTCTGATTTGAATGTTGTCATTGTTTGTCTTTATGAAATACTTGGTCTGTTGGATGAACTGTGGCCATTTTAATTGTTGTTGTGTCTCTTCAACTTTTAGAATGGTCAAAAGCATAAACAACTCATGCTACAACTGGGGTGTGAGGATGCTATGTTTGTGTGAAGGTTTACCCAGAGGCTCACATGCACAGTGCTTTGTCTCTCATTGAAGTGTACTATTCTGTTTGGTTTGTGTAGTACACTTCTCTCTATTAGCGTTTTACTATCCTTTGAAGATGGCGAGAGCTTGTTGACATCACTGTTATTGTATTCTTTTGCTGCGTGTTTTCAGTTCTCCAGCTCGATGTGAGCCTTGGGTAATTGTGGGAAATTACAGGGTAGAGAAATGCTGTGCTCTATTTATTCCGTTCATATAGTTGTTCATGTTTTTCACACAAGCTTATGTGTTTAATGTTTTAAAAACACAAGATAAAGCAGCAGCTTGTCTTGGGAGGTTGTAAAGTGCACGTGTATTATATGCCTACGTATGTGTATGTGTATGTGTGTGTGTGTGTGTGTGTGTGTGCGTACACCTTTTTGAGATGGGTGCATATCCGTGTGTGTATGAGTATGCATATTATGAAAAGGACGTGTCATGGAGTGAGCTCATGGCCTCTTGTCCTGTTTGGTGTGCGTTGCGTTGGCTCTCAGGAGTACATGAAGCTCTCGGATGTCTATAAGATGTATGGGAGTGATTGCCATGACACCCAACTCACCACCTCTGCTCAGCACAGCCTCTCGCTCACCCTAGACACAGCTGTCCCCTGCGAGGTACCATTGCCCTCTCTTTCTCTCTATCACTCTCTCATCACGTTCTCTCTCTCTCCCTCTCTCTCTCTCTCTCTCTCTCTCTCTCTCTCTCACTATGTCTCAGTCACACTCTCTCTCTCTCTCCTTATCACTCACCCTTGGTCTCTTTCTCTCTCACTCCATCTTTTCATTCTTTCACCTGTTGCTCCTCTCTCTAGCTGTCTACTTCTAGATAGCTTACTGTACTTACAGTGGGGGAAAAAAGTATTTAGTCAGCTACCAATTGTGCAAGTTCTCCCACTTAAAAAGATGAGAGAGGCCTGTAATTTTCATCATAGGTACACGTCAACTATGACAGACAAAATGAGAAAAAGAAATCCAGAAAATCACATTGTAGGATTTTTAATGAATTTATTTGCAAATTATGGTGGAAAATAAGTATTTGGTCAATGACAAAAGTTTCTCAATACTTTGTTATATACCCTTTGTTGGCAATGACACAGGTCAAACGTTTTCTGTAAGTCTTCACAAGGTTTTCACACACTGTTGCTGGTATTTTGGCCCATTCCTCCATGCAGATCTCCTCTAGAGCAGTGATGTTTTGGGGCTGTCGCTGGGCAACACAGACTTTCAACTCCCTCCAAAGATTTTCTATGGGGTTGAGATCTGGAGACTGGCTAGGCCACTCCAGGACCTTGAAATGCTTCTTACGAAGCCACTCCTTCGTTGCCCGGGCGGTGTATTTGGGATCATTGTCATGCTGAAAGACCCAGCCATGTTTCATCTTCAATGCCCTTGCTGATGGAAGGAAGTTTTCACTCAAAATCTCACGATACATGGCCCCATTCATTCTTTCCTTTACACGGATCAGTCGTCCTGGTCCCTTTGCAGAAAAAACAGCCCCAAAGCATGATGTTTCCACCCCCATGCTTCACAGTAGGTATGGTGTTCTTTGGATGCAACTCAGCATTCTTTGTCCTCCAAACATGACGAGTTGAGTTTTTACCAAAAAGTTATATTTTGGTTTCATCTGACCATATGACATTCTCCCAATCCTCTTCTGGATCATCCAAATGCACTCTAGCAAACTTCAGATGGGCCTGGACATGTACTGGCTTAAGCAAGGGGACACGTCTGGCACTGCAGGATTTGAGTCCCTGGCGGCGTAGTGTGTTACTGATGGAAGGCTTTGTTACTTTGGTCCCAGCTCTCTGCAGGTCATTCACTAGGTCCCCCCGTGTGGACAGGTGTCTTTTATACTGATAACAAGTTCAAACAGGTGCCATTAATACAGGTAACGAGTGGAGGACAGAGGAGCCTCTTAAAGAAGAAGTTACAGGTCTGTGAGAGCCAGAAATCTTGCTTGTTTGTAGGTGACCAAATACTTATTTTCCACCATAATTTGCAAATAAATTCATTAAAAATCCTACAATGTTGACGTGTACCTATGATGAAAATTACAGGCCTCTCTCATCTTTTTAAGTGGGAGAACTTGCACAATTGGTGGCTGACTAAATACTTTTTTTCCCCACTGTACATACTGCTGTATTGGCTTTCTGCTACATGGCCCTCCTTGATATAATCAGCTCAACTAACCTCTGCATTACTGATTGAAAATGAGAATTTGGAGGATAATGGTACCAGACCTGGATCAAATACATATGTCATATACATTAAAATACTTGCCAGTATTTTAGGTGAGCTTGATTTAGCTTGGAGCTTGCACTTTTGGAACTATTTAATTGTTTCCATTGTACCAGGCAAACTGAATCAAGCACAGCTCAAGTATTTTACATATGTATTTCACCAAGGTCTGGATGGTACGATGGGTTGATATTATTGAAAGACTATCCGTATGTGAGTCAGGTTTACTGCCATGTATTTCACATGCTGTCCTTGTAGCTGCTGTTTTCCTCCCTGTTGACGTGTGTCCTTCTCTGCCTATGTTTCTCGCTTTCCCTCTTTGCCCTTTGACCTCCTGTCTGCCTGTTTGTGTGTGGATCCCTGAATGAAAGGAGTACGTGACAGTGGGCCAGTTAACTCAGATCTTTGGAATGCCGAAGGTCGAGTCCTCCCCTACCTCTCCTCTCCGGCCCCTCCAATCAGGAGCGGGAGATCCCGCCTTCTCCTGCCTCTCCGCTCCTCACAGCTCCTCCCTCTCTCTCTCTGTTGAGGTGTGTCTCTGGTCTCTCTCTCTATTTCTTGTCACCCACCTCTCGTTTCTGTGAAGATGCCCGAATGACCCCTCTACCCCAGTGGCCAAAGCTAGTTGAAATGACGTCAAACCACCAGTTTACAGCCATTTTTGTAATTGGTTGTAAACTGGTTGTATTGACGTCATTTCAACAAGTTTTACCCGTTGAGAGACCTATATGTCAGCATTTGCTGATGTTTCAAGATGATGAACATTAACACACCAAAAACATAACATTTCGGAAAATATTTATATTTCCGTCACTACCTGATCCTCTTATTTGCTAATTAATGCTTTAATTTCTTATTTCTCTTCCTCTTCTCCTCCACTCCCTTGCTCTGTCCATCCTGTCCTTTGCCTCTCTGCTGCCTCTTACTGTGGACTCTTAACTGCGGCCCTCCAGTACCAGCCTGAGTGCAGTAGGCCTCAAAACCCCACTCTCGATTTAGAGCAGTGGTACCAGGAGGTGATGGCTGCTGGGGAGAGCAGCCAGCTCTGCCCCCCTCTCCCAGCTAAAGTTCTCTCCGCTCGCAGGCCTATGCAGGTAATTCTCAGAGGCCTTCTCCTATTTTCTATTCCTCCCCTTGTTTTACTCTTCCATTGTTTCTGTTCTGTCTTCATCTTCTCTCTTCCGATGAAAATGGCTTTTCAAGTGCAGTGTGATTTGTTGATTGAGTTAATTGTTCAATGATGGTCTGTCTGGGCTTGCTGCCACTCATGCATTTAGTTTTCCCTTTTTCATTAGTTTGAATTCTTTAAGGATCTTCCACATGCTTTATGGTAATCTGTTAGCATCTTTTGTCAGTATTCAATCCAAAACTAGTACCACTCATGGATGTCATTACATTGCACCGGAATATGAAATGTTAAATCTTCAAAAATGATTCTGTATAATGTGCATTGTATTCGATGTACTGCTAGGTTATACTACAGTACATACAAGCTCAGCCAAAGGGTTGGGGTCAATTCCATGTACTTTAAATATTAATTGACCCCAACCTGGGTATAGCCTAGACTGCAATAAATCTCTGAAGATTTACTGGCATAAAATGTAAAAAAAATTATGAAAAGCCAAAAGACCTCATACTGAATGGCCAGCTGAGGCCGTGACACAAACCACCTGAAGGTTGTGGTTACAACAGGGTGTGTTTCTTCACACTGGCATCTACCAGTAAAGCACTTTGACACTGATTCTGTCGTTACATCTGTGGGAGGACTCAAAGGACCACCAATAAAAGGGATGCTGCTGGTGCTGCCATAATAATCAATGTCTCTGGCTGTGTCTGATATCTCAGTAGTAGCAGTAGCGATTAAAGTTCACTCACCAAAAGTAGGCTGCTTTAGCATTTCAAAGATATCAATCAATATCAATATGTTGGTTGAATTGAAATGTCAATAAATGTGCCTTTGAAATGCTAAAGAAGCCTATTTCTTTGTATTTGTACCCTACTCTCTACATCTCACAGCATCTCCCACCAGTCTAGTTTTGAGTAGGCACCACAGTTTATATTCCTCATTCCATTTAATGTAATCCATGTTTTACTATGTGTGGGGGAACCTCAAACAATTAGTCTACTGAGTTTGATAGCTGATCCTGGTCCGTCTTCACTCCTCCTCCCAGGTGTTCTGCTCCAAGCTGGACAGTGATGCTGGACAGACGGTACATCAACCCAAAGCAGGCTCCGGATCCCATCTGCAGTGCGGAGCTGCCACACTGGGACGCAACACAACCTCAAAGGTAAACCTCATCAGCTCCGCTCCATCACTACTTGTTGGCTAGTAGGGTCCTCAGCGGATCATGTAGTAAAGCTAAAAGCTGAATTGCAGCCTACTCAGGTCTACATACCTACAACCAAATTAAAATACAAAATGGAAGGTACTGGTGTAGGAGGGAGGTCAAGTTTGTGGCTGGATCGTGTAGCTCGTGTAGATCTCTTCTGAGGCAGCCATTTGCTGTAATACTGCAATTTAGCTAGCTTCATCATACGAGTTTGTGGTAGGTTTCTATGAGGAAGACTACAGTACATAGGGCCCTTATACACAATCAATCTGAATGTATTGTATGTATCCCTCTCAGGTCACCTGGTGTTTGATTTGACCTAGCATGTGGTTACATACCAGTAAACAACGGCAGGTTGTTATGTGTTGTGTGCTACATGATAGTATCAGATTACATTTGATAGTATTAGATGACATCGCTCACAAGACTGAGAGCTTGATGTTTATCTGTAGCTGTTGTCATGCATCAAAGGTTAATGCATAGCATTTGATGGTTTATATACTGTAAGTCCATTCACTGGATGTGTCAGTGGATGTCTTATTGGCTCTTGGCCTTGCCTGCCAGTCAATGATGACCACATTGGAAATAAACCTTGATGGTTTGTAATTTGTGTACTGCCATTGCATTGATATGTTGCTGTATGTGTTTTTCATTGTTAATTGAATTTAATAAATGAATCATTCAATCACTCTCCTTCTTTTGTGTCCTTCTAGAGCCCACTGATGGTTCCCAACAGTACAGGCAGTTTGCCACGGAACTTGGCTGCCACCATGCAGGACATAGAGACCAAGAGAGCGCTAGCCTTACAGCAGAAAGGTAACATCCTTTTGGGAGTTTACACCAGGCTACTGTCCCATGTTCTGGTTTGAGGCAAGAGTTTCCTTATAGGGTTCCAGCAGTAAACATCAACCTGGAATTAGTATAGTTATAATGTGTTTAAGATGGTCCTCTCCAGGTTTCTATAAACAAGATTTGTTGTCTGTCATTTCATGATTTCCTGTAATGCTTCAGAGAAACCACACCCTGTCCTTGTCCCTGTCTCCATCACCCCGCTTCCCCCTCACCCAGTCTCTTCCTCCACGGTTACGACCCCTCCCTTGCTTGCCTCCTCTAGCTCAGATTTAACCACCATGTTGTCCTCTTGTCTGTCTCGCTGTCTGTCACCCTGTCCTTCCATCCCTCCATCCAACCATCCCTCTTTCCATTACTGTCCTCCACTCTCCATGTCACAGAGTCCTCCTTGCCTTCCACGTCTGAGTCTCCCTGCTCCACCATGGACAATCCCACAGACAGACAGATAGACAGACAGACCTCTGAGCCTGGGAGTGGGTTTGGTCTCATGTTCATTTCCTAAAAGTCTTACGTTCGTCTCATATAAAATCTCCATCCATCTTTCTTCTCCATCTTCTTGTCTGTCTCCATCCTCCTGCTGAGAATCAACAATGCATGCGTTCGGTTGAAGCGGTGCTTTTCACCTGTCGGGCCACCTTTGTTCCACTTTAACTTTGCGGCTGTTTTTAAAGAGGTATCTGTCAGTTATATGATGGCTAGTGAGCATGAGTTTGGACTTGAAGATGACTTCCTTGGGTTACTGGATCATTTTTTATTAGTATTTTTGCTGCTACTGTACTTAGGAAGCTTTGATGATGAGGAAAAGTGTTGCTGGTTGAATTGAGCTTGGGCTTTTGATAATACCGAGCACATACATGTTGTATGTTTGATGTATGTGTGGGGCCTGGTTTCATCTGTCGCTGACCTGTGGTATCCTACATTACACGGACTCATAGGCAATCTTTAGGTTTACTCTGTCTTCATAGCTGGGTGACGCTGATCATCATGACCTTTTGCTTGGCAAGTGGATATGAATCATGTGTGTGTGTGTTTGAGTTGGTTAGTGGGTGAGTATGTGTGTCTGCATGCTGAGGGCGCTGCCATTCATCCTGGAACTGTCATCATGGGACATAATGGGGTATCCCTGGACGTGATCAAACCACCCCACAGATCAGCTATGACCTCCTACTTCCTCCCTCTCCCTCCACCCCCAGGCCACCAGGTGATCGAGGAGCAGCGGCGGCGTTTGGCTGAGCTGAAGCAGCGGGCTGCAGTGGAAGCCCAGTGCCAGTGGGATGCGATCCACAGCTCACAGACCCACCTCAACACCCAGTATACCCCTTCCCACGCCCACGGCCCTCCAATGGTGCACCACTCCATCCTGCACCACCAGCCGCCGTCGGCGGGCGAGCAGCCGTACGACACACTAAGCCTGGAGAGCTCTGACAGCATGGACACCAGCGTCTCCACCGGCAACAACTCGGCCTGCTCCCCCGACAACATGTCCAGGTTAGAGACGCACACACACAAACACACACATGCACACGCACGCATATCCTCGAACACACACACGCTTCACCGACAACATATCCAGGTCAGAGCCAGAGCGAGGAACACTCAGCCTTACATGACACACACACACGTACACACAAACACTGGCTAATTTCTGCCAAGGGATCTCCGACAAGTAACCACATGGGTCATATGACTCCCCACGTGCTGTCTGACTGTGAATTGTGCACAATCTGTTAATTTGGTCAAGCTGTCTTGTATCAGCTCATTATTCATTACTGTCTGTCTACTAGTGACAAAAGAAGCATGCTTGTCTGCTCAGCTGTTGTCCATCCACTGTTAGCAGTAATCAGGTGGATATTTATTGGACAATATAGGGCTTTTTACACTACTGAGCCGAACCAAACCAGGTTGTCTGTCCTGAGCTGGTCTGCTGGAACCATGCCGAAAAGGACGATGTGTAAAGTATCCGAGCCAGCACAGTTTGGTTTCAGTCGGCATGATAGTGTGACAATTTTATAATTCTCTAAATCCAGTTCAAACATTCTACAACTTAGAATTCAAATGTGAACAGGTCGTCTTTGTGACAGTCAAAGGCACTCCCAGTCCGTACAGAACTTGTCAAGTTTGTTGTCGTGCATGTATTATCGCAGGCCTACAAAAATGTCAACAGGGAAACGCTCTTGCATAACCACATGCCAGAGACAGTTTCTCTGTCTCGCTGAACACTGTCTTCCTCTCAAATAATTGATTCGCTATATTGGATGATCCTGGTCGTGCCCAAATGACTCCCTATTCCCTACATAGTGCACTACTTTTGACCAGAGCCTATGAGCTTTGGTCAAATGTAGTGCACTATGTAGGGAATAGGGTGCTATTTGGGATGCGGCCCTGGATACATGTGTAGGCTACAGCAGAAGGGATGCTCCCTTTAATCTTTATGACTGGTTAAAAGTCAACATTTTGTATTTTGGCTAGTTAAACATTTGGGTGAGTGACTGCTGAAATATAGTCAAATGACTAGTAACATAGAGTCTTAAGACTAGTGAAGACACTCTGCACAGATATAAAGAGGGGTTGCCCTGAGCCAGTTGATATGAAAGGTAGGATGTGTGTGTGGTTGCACACAGACAAGGCAGATGTGTCCATCCCCTTTGCACCTGGTGAAAGCACAGCAGTTTCTCCACTTTAAATGGGATATCAAAGATTGCACGTAATCAACTGGCCTAAGCACTCATTAGGGTTGTGTTCAGTAGGCAGGAAGTGGGGGGAAAAAACATCCAAAGCGGAGTGAATGAGAGTCCAATGAGAAACAGTCATTCGTCTTCTGTTGCAAAACGTTTTAGAATGTTGTCCTTCGCATGCCGTCATGAAAACAACCTTGCACTCACTGTCCGCTAGGCACCACCTGGCCGTACGGGACATTTCCAGTGTATACAGCATTGGACCTCTAAACCGTTGATAATAGTTAATAACTCTTTATGGTAGTTAGTGTCCACATAGTAAGTTAATGTTTTTATGACCAGTGATGACAGATGTTTTAGGACTTACTTAATCCTCTTCGTTCCTATGTGAGAAGCTCGCCGATCTTTAACCATTTTGGGGGTGGTTTTCCATGACGGGCCACAGTTTTGGGACCTAAGAGTATTAATACACTGTTACCCATAAATATATTGAATGATGGATGTCATTGATAGTTGAGATGTATCTCTGACTGTGTCTGGTTTGCAGTGCCAGTGGGATGGACGCGCTGAAGATCGAAGAGATGGAGAAGATGCTGAAAGAAGCCCACCTAGAGAAGGCCAGGCTCATAGAATCCAAAGTAAGACACCACCTCACACACCATGGCTAGCTTCCTATCAGATCCCATACTAACATCTTACTTCAGTGTTTACAGCCAGAACATGACTGGCCACCCGTCAGAGCCTGGTTCCTCTCTATTTTTCTGCCTTCTAAGGAGTTTTTCCTAGCCACTCTGCTTCTACCTCTGCATTGCTTTCTTTTTGGGGTTTTAGGCTGGGGATCTGTAAAGCACTTTGCGACAACTGCTGATGTAAAAAGGGCATTATGTTCATGATCTTTTCTCCACCTCCGTCCTTCTCTCCAGGAGCGAGAGAGCCATGCCCGTAGGCAGATGCTGGAGGAGGAGAGGAGGAGGCGCGAGGAGGCTGAGAAGAGGCTGCAGGACGAGACGGTGCACAGGCAGCAGCTGGTGGACAAGGAGGTGAAGATGAGGAGCAAGAACTTCTCCCAGGTGAGCCTCAGGCCCGATAACAACGAAAAATCCAAACAAAAAGAAAATGCATTTTGAGATCTGTCTCTCTGATCATCTGTTAGTCGTATAGGCTTTTGAAAGACTCGTTACACGTTTGTTTCCTTCTTTCCTCAGGCTCGTCCTATGACTCGTTACCTGCCCATCCGCAAGGAGGAGTTTGACCTGCGCTCCCACATCGAGTCATCCGGCCACAACGTGGAGACCTCTTACCACGTGATCCTCACAGAGAAGATGTGCAAGGGTTACCTGGTCAAGATGGGCGGCAAAATCAAGTCGTGGAAGAAACGCTGGTTTGTCTTCGACCGCCTCAAAAGGACCTTCTCATATTACATTGGTAAGGAAACTGCTCTGATCGAGCCAATGGGAGATACAGTGCATGGCATATTCATACCCCTTGACCTTAATGTAGACTGTATTTGTGAAAGGTGGTATAAATGAGTTCGGTAGAGATGAACATTAGGATACACAAGGGTAATGCACATTTGTGGGTAGCGGTTTGGTAGCAGGCGTTTAGATACAGTAATATGCAAATGCTTGGCGATTTGCATGATAAAATAGATAATTATTAAATAATTACTTCATATAAAATTGCAACTACTTTTCCAAAAAAATTGCGCTTGTATTATTATTTTTATGTAGCAGGGATCTAGTGCAGTTTATGCCTGAAGGTAAAAAGGGGCATAAAGTTACCCCCGGTTCCTCTTGTGTTTTTGCAGTGGTTGATGAAATAAGCTGCAATATTGTACCATAAGGGTGTAAGAATGTAGAAATCAGGGGCTCTATTAAATTCCGCGATATAAATTAAAAGTTATTTCCGATTGAGCCGACATGCAGCGTTTACTGTGAATGCAGTCTCCACTAAAGGGGGAACATTGCCTTTAAATTTCAATCACGCTGTAAAGCTGAATTTCTGCAAGGAGGATTGAATAGAGGCCGAAGTCTAAAATACAGTAGTAGTCAGAGACACTGCAACCTATTTAAAATGAAAAGGAAGCCGTGTTCTCAACAAAAAATAACTTGAAACTTCAAATGGACATGATGATACAGTATGTTACTTTTATGACACTGGCTTAGGAAATACTGTACAAGCTCAAGAATAGAATTGTGATTAACAATGAAAAGGATTGTCCTTTACTATGACTCTCTCTCCGTCTGTCATCAAAGAAACTGTACTGTAGGAATCTAAAATAATAACGTGATATTTTTACCTAAGCATTTTGTCATGTTCATCTCCTCTACAGACAAGCACGAGACCAAACTGAAAGGAGTCATCTACTTCCAGGCCATTGAAGAGGTCTACTATGATCACTTGCGTAGCGCCACAAAGGTACGTTCTGTGTTATCTACCTAACAATTGGAGAACAATCTTTATACAGAAAACAATAAAATCCTCTAATCACTTTTCTTTTTATGCTTTCACTGTACTGATTAAATAATTATCTTTCTTTAAGATCTTTTGTTTTATACACGTTTTGCTTCTTCCACGCTTTCATTTCTCTTCTCACTCTTTTGCTTTGACTGGCTGGTTTCACAGAAAGGATTTTTCAACCTCAATTTGGCCAATGTATGTATGACTTTTTGTCTCGACCCACCCATTGCTTGTTCTCTGCCCCTCTTACCCCAGTGCAACATGTGTGTGTGTTTGTTGATTTGGTTGTTTACACAGAATGTTCAGATAGAAATGTATAATGTAGAATTGATAGGATTGTCTGTCATGTAGAATAAGGATTCGTGTCAGCTCTACATATTCCATTGCTATCTGCAACTTTCTGTTGAATACCCACCAGGAGCGTAATCATGCATGATTATTACAAGACATAATGAAAACCCACAGTCATTACCGAACAGTGCATCTCTGGATCCTCACATTTTCCCCCTTGGTTTCATACAGTGGGGAAAAAAAGTATTTAGTCAGCCACCAATTGTGCAGGTTCTCCCACTTAAAAAGATGAGAGAGGCCTGTAATTTTCATCATAGGTACACGTCAACTATGACAGACAAAATGAAAAAAAAATCCAGAAAATCACATTGTAGGATTTTTAATGAATTTATTTGCAAATTATGGTGGAAAATAAGTATTTGGTCAATAACAAAAGTTTCTCAATACTTTGTTATATACCCTTTGTTGGTAATGACACAGGTCAAACGTTTTCTGTAAGTCTTCACAAGGTTTTCGCACACTGTTGCTGGTATTTTGGCCCATTCCTCCATGCAGATCTCCTCTAGAGCAGTGATGTTTTGGGGCTGTCGCTGGGCAACACGGACTTTCAACTCCCTCCAAAGATTTTCTATGGGGTTGAGATCTGGAAACTGGCTAGGCCACTCCAGGACCTTGAAATGCTTCTTACGAAGCCACTCCTTCGTTGCCCGGGCGGTGTGTTTGGGATCATTGTCATGCTGAAAGACCCAGCCACGTTTCATCTTCAATGCCCTTGCTGATGGAAGGAGGTTTTCACTCAAAATCTCACGATACATGGCCCCATTCATTCTTTCCTTTACACAGATCAGTTGTCCTGGTCCCTTTGCAGAAAAACAGCCCCAAAGCATGATGTTTCCACCCCCATGCTTCACAGTAGGTATGGTGTTCTTTGGATGCAACTCAGCATTCTTTGTCCTCCAAACACGACGAGTTGAGTTTTTACCAAAAAGTTATATTTTGGTTTCATCTGACCATATGACATTCTCCCAATCCTCTTCTGGATCATCCAAATGCACTCTAGCAAACTTCAGACGGGCCTGGACATGTACTGGCTTAAGCAGGGGGACACGTCTGGCACTGCAGGATTTGAGTTCCTGGCGGCTTAGTGTGTTACTGATGGTAGGCTTTGTTACTTTGGTCCCAGTTCTCTGCAGGTCATTCACTAGGTCCCCCCGTGTGGTTCTGGGATTTTTGCTCACCGTTCTTGTGATCATTTTGACCCCACGGGGTGAGATCTTGCATGGAGCCCCAGATCGAGGGAGATTATCAGTGGTCTTGTATGTCTTCCATTTCCTAATAATTGCTCCCACAGTTGATTTCTTCAAACCAAGCTGCTTACCTATTGCAGATTCAGTCTTCCAAGCCTGGTGCAGGTCTACAATTTTGTTTCTGGTGTCCTTTGACAGCTCTTTGGTCTTGGCCATAGTGGAGTTTGGAGTGTGACTGTTTGAGGTTGTGGACAGGTGTCTTTTATACTGATAACAAGTTCAAACAGGTGCCATTAATACAGGTAACGAGTGGAGGACAGAGGAGCCTCTTAAAGAAGAAGTTACAGGTCTGTGAGAGCCAGAAATCTTGCTTGTTTGTAGGTGACCAAATACTTATTTTCCACCATAATTTGCAAATAAATTCATAAAAAATCCTACTATGTGATTTTCTGGATTTTTTTCCCTCAATTTGTCTGTCATAGTTGACGTGTACCTATGATGAAAATTACAGGCCACTCTCATCTTTTTAAGTGGGAGAACTTGCACAATTGGTGGCTGACTAAATACCTTTGGAGTTGTTTGCCAAAGCAAGCCTTCTTAGAGAGATTATTCACTTGTTTGTTCCTCTGTGGAATTGGTTGTGTTTGAATCTGTCCCTTCAATTAATACAATTGAAACAGACTAAATACGGGTGGATTATCCAGGTGTGTGTTTGCGTGTGTGCATATCAAAGTGTTGTATTTTACATACTGTATACAGCTTAAGTGCATGTGTGTAACTGTAAAATATGTGGGTTGGGCACTTGCGTCTTATGTTGTGTGTGTAGATTGTCGTGTGTGTGTGTGTGTGTGTGTGTGTACTGTCCTGCTGGCAGTCGAGCTGCTGCAGTATTTCCTGTATCCTGTTTTGACTCTGATTGTCTCCTTCAGCACTTTTCTGAGCTCCTGCCTCCTCAGTTTCGAAGAGAGGTGTGTGTGCCTGCCACGCCATGATTAACTGTGTGTTGTGGATAAACACGTGGTAGAGCAGCGTAGTGCTCACTTATTTTTACAGGTTCAATAGACAGAAGTGTGATTGTCAGCATAGGAGAAGCCCCATTGTCCATCAACAAGACAATCAGTTGTTGAAAAGTCATCAATTGTTGAAAAACATATATATGGGCAATGTGTAGCAACTCTCGTAACACTTGCCTGTGGTTTTTGGGTTGTCGTTTAAGATATTTGATTATTATAGTGCACCCATTGTACTAACCATCATGACCAATGAATTTAGAAAAAATATGTAGTTGTTTACACAGAGCATGATATTGGTTATTTTAGTTGAATCTGAGACAATATCGGAGGGTAGCACGTAGAAAAAACTCTCCTCCCACATATTCTGCATTCAATCTAACCTCCAATGTTCCCCAAAAGGATATGGGTAGCTGCCGCACCTTCACGCCCCTTAACATCGAGTGCTGTTTGGGTCAAATCGGAGTCATTAAATTACATGTCATCTCCATATTACTGACCTTTGACCTTTCTCTCTTCTCCAATCCCAGAGCCCCAATCCCTCGTTGACCTTCTGTGTGAAGACTCACGACAGACTCTACTACATGGTGGCCCCTGCCCCGGAGGCCATGAGGATATGGATGGACGTTATAGTAACCGGAGCCGAGGGCTACACGCAGTTCATGAACTAATAGGGGAGAGTTGCATACGGTGGCCTAGCGGTGACATAAGGTCATACATTGCTTACGGTGGCCTAGCGGTGACATAAGGTCATAAGGAGACTGTTTCGGCAAGAAAACACTTCAATAGATTCAGGCCTTTCCTTCTAGGGCCTTATCCTCTCCCAGTTTTGGGAAATTGCCTTTTTATTTTGTTACGTTCATTATATCTATTTTTAAATCTCACATCTCTCACTTTACAATACACATTTTTCTCCACTGGTTTTTCTACTTGCTTCTGCCCTCGGATTAAAAAAGGGAGCCCTGGAAGAGACACACACACACACTGTATATAACCAAAACAACATAACTGTCAGACTTTCTGCTCAAAAGCCTTTCTATATTGCCAAATGGAGATCTTGATTTAGTTACAGGCTCTTGCTTGTGAGACCTATTTTGTGTATCAGTAAATGTCTTTGATAGTTGTACTTTTTTTTTTACACTATATGGAATATTGCCAAATGACATAACAATGGTTTCAGACAAATGGTCGTTTTTATGGAGTGTTTCAAATAGAACATGAAGGCATTTGCCTGAATCTACTTAAGTTTATCAGTGAGCGAAAGATGTAATAATGTAAGAAAGGTTTAAAAGAAATTCTATTGAAAATGTTGGCGAATAAACCTAATTGAAATCAGTGAGACCATGACACAATCTACCAATGTCAAGAAACACACCAACTCAGGAGTCCATACTCAATTTTAGTTCCCGTCAGAGATAGAGATGGATCAAGATCTAGTTTTATGACCTTAGTCTACTGCTGAACTAGATTCAATTGTGTCTGTCTTCTACTGTAATGTTGCCAACTCCTAAAGGTACACACAGAGTCTGTTTGCCAAGTCCTGATAACTTGATCTTATGATGACTTGACCCTTTGCGTAAACAGCCATTCCATCACTGCCAGCCTACAACACCAGTAGCTCTAGGGACTACATAATGAGACAACGGTACATGTCATTATAATAATGCTAATCATTCTGTGCCTTGAGATGTGTCATAATACTCCTAGTCTGTAACTGTTAATCGTGCTGGTCTACAATCTTTTGTTAACGGTATCAGAATTCAACAGACTTGCATGGGGAAGGGAGAGGGGAAGTCTGACTGCTGTTTGGATGCAGCAATACACAAGTGCATGTGAACAGTAACCTCCCCTGAATTCCAAATCAAGCTCCAGACCCCACTACTTCGTATGCACTTGTGTAGATCTGAGAGGATTGGATAGGTAAACAGGTGGTAGCTCCATATGGCTCTCTGATACTCCAGGTGGAATTGTCGCAATATAATATTGCTTACACTTATCCAACTCTTTCAGATCTACACAAATGCACAGGGATTTCGGATTCAGGGTGCATTTCAGCTTTAATAGAACGTCAAATGATCTGGTAGCTTGACATAATCATTGTAAAGGATTCAGACAGGCTACACGATCACAACATTTATAAATCACCATCTGAATATCTTTTTAGAGAAGACTATGCTGTGATTTTGAACATGTAAATCTGAGTGTTTAGGTTTGTTGTGAAGCCTTGTGAAATGTAATTATCTTTCTTATGGTTAACCTGCCTGAGATACAGTAGTTCTGTAATCCATGTCACTGTCAAGTATAAGAAAAGAGACTAGTGCGAAAAACCTTAATATATTTTCCCGTTTTTTTCCCCCCGCACCGAAATGGATGCAACCAAATATTCAGCATTGGCCAGAGGTATATCATAGTGTTAGAAAAAAACGGTTTTATACTGTAAAAAGATGCCTGTATGAAAATGTAATTTACTCAGCATTCAACCAGTATTGTACAAAAAGCCATTTTCTTTTCATTTTAAAAGACGTTTAATGGTCAGCATACGCTTTAGTTTTATGAGCATGTTGTATCAGTCTACGCTCCCTCACTGTGTAGAACATATCTCCATCTTTCACTTTCTCCTATCACTCACACCATCTTCAGACCATATTATGTTGACGGTACACTATCTGTTTCATACGGCACTTTAATGTATGGATTATATGGATTTTGTCAGATCTATTAAAACAGACATGTTACTGTGAGTCTTATCTGGTTTGAATTCATAGCAACATGGCCATGGTTTTATTAAAACATTTATTTCATTTTCAGTAGTTGCAGTCTCATCGCAGTATAAACACTAAAATGTTAATTTTGGCATAACGATCTCACAATCTGTCACGATCGTTGTAAGAGGCAGACCAAGGTGCAGCGTGATAGGCGTACATCTTTTAATGAGTACTTTACACCAAACAACAAAACGATACGTGAAGTCTAAAGGTTCACCAACACAAACCTATACAGAACAAGATCCCACAAATAACTAGTGCCAACAGGCTGCCTAAGTATGGTTCCCAATCAGAGACAACGAGCTACAGCTGTCTCTGATTGGGAACCACCCTGGCCAACATAGATATGAACGATCTAGAACAGACCCAATGAAAACTAAACATAACAAGTCCACACCCTGGCTCAACATTTAAGAGTCCCCAGAGCCAGGGCGTGACACAATCACTTTAGTAATAGCAGGTTTAGGGTTACAACAGCAGGTTGTGACGTGTTAGCACAAATCAAAGTAACAAAACAAAACTGAATTAAAGGTAAAATCCTAAAACCCATATAAGCCCATCTATTAAAACAACCTAAAAAATTGTTTTAATCTTTTAATGTTCAAAACGGATCACAAGTTGGTCAATGTGGTACCATGAACTGTAAGCATCAAATCAAATAAATGTAGAGGTTCTATGAGCTCTGCCTAAAAAACATGACTTCCAAGATAGGAAAGCAATGGGTTGAGCCCTGGTCCAGTCAGCTTGTGATTGGCTCTCTGTCTTTCACACTTCATTGACTGGCGCCTGTGAAAATGACAAACATCAATAGAAAATTCCCTGCTTGTCCTAGGATTTGACTCCCTATAAAACAGTGAACATATAAATCTTCATATCTACATTTGTCAGTTTGTTAGGCTAATTTCACAAACTCAAAACAAACAGAAGTATGAGACATAGGTTTGGTTATAGAAAGGTTGTTGTGTACTTACTCTCTGCACATGGGGAGCTGTATTCACTCACAGCTTCATCACCTGAGAACAGAACAGATGGCAATGCAGAAGTCAGTTCCTTTCTAATGCTAACTTTACTTCCCTTTCAGTCAGTCAACATCATTAAACTCCCACTTCAGGGGTGAACCAATGGGCCCATACTGGTGATGTCTATTTTCCTTCTTCAGGGAACCAGAGTTATGTACGTAACCTAGACGGGTATGCCAGTGCCACCAAATATTTCAGAAAGAATGGGGTGGTTTGGAAACTGGTTAATAGAAACCGGTATTCTTGCATTAGAGAAAAAAAGCATATATAAACGTGTTAGCTTTTAATAGAAGAGCACCATGAATTGAAAATTATATATATATATATATATATATATATATATATATATATATATATATATATAATGTATTTGTGCTCTTCTATTAAAAGCTAACACGTTTTGATACAGGGTGTCAAACTCATTAAATGGAGGGCCGAGTGTCTGCTGGTTTTTGGTTTGTCCTTTCAATTAAGACCTAGACAACCAGGTGAGGGGAGATCCTTACTAATTAGTGACCTTAATTCATCAATCAATTACAAGGGAGGAGCGAAAACCCACAGACACTCAGCCCTCCGTGGAATGACTTTGACATTTGTGGTCTAATATATCTAGTTTCGGGTGTTGCAATCTTTTTCCATTTGAGAAAGAGTACCAGTTTTTCATGATAACCCTTGGGGAGCACAATGTTTGCTGCGCATGAGATCACGTTTCTAGGGTTGCAAAATTCCGGGAACTTTAATGAAATTCCCTGGTTTTCCAGAACTCCTGGTTGGAGGATCCCAGATATTCTGCTTATTCCCTCCTGTTTCTGTGAATCCTCCAACCGGGATTTTGGGAAAACCAGGGAATTTAAAGTTCCCGGATTTTTGGCAACCATACACATTTCACTGTCTGTGTTAGATGGAATTCTTACTTGTCTGGTAATAGTCATACACTTTCACCACAGCTGGTTTCAGATTCCTCACAGGCACATCCTCCTCTATGGCCAGGCTGTACGTCTTAGTTTCCTTCTTCTTAAGCTGGAATTAAAGGAATAATACATTTGACACTGAAGTTCAATGTTCTAGATTCATATAGTGGTACTGTATAAAACATCCACTACTGTCTTACTTTGATGTTACTGTTCAAGTTAAATCCAGTGTGTGGATGCAAATGAGACCACATCCAACTAGGTTTTCTGTAACCGATAAAGACAGCACCCTGTTTAGACGCAACATTTATGATTCATGATCCTACCCCATCTAGGTAGATGATGACATGTCCTTCCTCCAGGTCAACTCGTTTGACATTGGGGTCATTTTTCAACTGGAAGAACAGAACACAGGTTAACATTGTCATGGACAGTAGAACTGATATGTTCAAAGGACAACCACTGGCATTGAGAATACTTACACTTAGAACAGATGCCATTATCATTAATATACATCAAGTCATCCTGGAGGGTATTATACTTAGGGCCAGGAGTGTTCCCCAAACCGGTAAAAATCCTGGCCCTGATTAAACTATATGTGTGTTCCCTTCAACTGAGGTTCTCTTATTGACTCACAGGCTTGAGGGAGGACTTGTCCAGGACGAAGCCGGAGAGAAGCTTGACATTGATGATCACCATGTTGGTCTCTTCTCGCCGACCGTTGTACCTGTCAGTCACACCGGGTCAGATTAAGGTAAAATATAATCTTAAATATGTTCGCATCAAATACATCTTCACACTAGTGGTTCAGTCACTTTTTTTGGTGTCCTACCAGAATCAGTCAGTTGCTATTTCAAGGTTAAAAGGAATACCACTGTACCTGACATCCACAGACACTATCAGAGATTTTTTAGTGCCGTCGCATTTCCCCAGTGTCTGTGTTGAGATGTTGAAAGCAGAGAAGTCAGGAGGAGGGGGAATATTGTAGTGCATGGCAATCTGAAAAGACAACAGAGACAATACCATTGAGATGCATGAAATCAACTTCCACATGTCAATGTACAGTACATATGCATTTCCGTTAGTGCTGACACTCTAGGGTTGAAACGTTCGTTTTTGTGCAACAATGTGCCCGACTGAACACAAACCAGACACTCAATACTGCATGTACTGAGAGGCAGCAAAGGGCAAATGACTGGAGCCTGACCTGCACAAACACGCAGCTCTTGCCCTGAGCCTTGATGTTGTAGTCCCCAGGGACCTCCTTCAGCTGCTCCTCCTGATAGAGCAGCCTGTTTTTCTGATTCACAGTGAACTCCATCTTCAGGCCTCCAGCTGACCTCACACTGACTGTACTGGCGCCCTCTGGACTGAAGGTGGCAGTAGCGTACTTGGCCAGGGCCTGCAGCGCTACCACTGTGTCCTGGTGGCAGGGGAAGAAGAGAGAGATGCTGTTGCAAAAACCAATCTGGATGACTATAGCTTTGGTATGGATGGAGAAAATCAATATAACAAAGTAATACATATTAAGAATGTAAAATGAAGCACAAAGATTCAAGGAAATCCATGTGTTGTGTTATGAAATTGTAATGCTTTAATACAATGTCCAATATGCTACATTTCATATAAAAATAAGTATTTGCTGTGATCAATGTTTAACCATGTACTAACAGTAGGAGTGATAGGCAGATGAGGTGCTAGAGTGAATGAATGTCTACCAGACCAAGAAAGTACCTGTGTGGAGGCAAAGCCTCCGTAGGGGTTCTGCTGCTGGGCCAGCCAGCGGACGATGCCGATGGAGTAGTCCAGCCCAAAGCCTGGCATGGAGGGGCCTGAGAGCAGCGCCAGCAGCACGTAGGATGTCATCTCCACCTCCAGAGAGTCCGTCTTCGTCCCCGAAGCCTCTGCTCTCTCCCAGTGACGATTGCCACCTGTGGTCATTTTCATTGTCAGTGGCTGTTTCACGACAGACAGACTTTTTCACAAAGAGACAAGACACATACCCGAGGTAGCAGCTATCTTGTCCAGGTGGGTGATGAGCTTGGTCCTCATGTCCTGGTTTTGTGCCAGGGTGAATGTGTAGGACAGCAGGGCTGTGGTGTAGGTGTTCTCCAGCTGGTCAGACACTGCTGCCTTCAGACACGCCAGACTCTTCTCCACCATGGGGTCCTGACACACCCACATACAAATACAACAGGGTTGTAGTCATTAGGCACCAAACAGAGGAACACTGATTGAAACTGGGAGGGAATACCTCAACCAATAAGAAATGCATATTTTGAGTTGCTAAATGTTCATGGGTTTTCCAAGAACTGTGTGAATTAGTTGGACAGCTAAGCAGAAATATCCACTAGGGCTGTTCATCTTTTGATAAAAGCACCAAATGTGGCCTTCTTATTTATCGATATAAAAAGACTTGGATATGGAAAGAGAGAAAGGTCAAAGGTGATAACTCACAGTAGTGTTGCCATCCAGCTCCAGCAGTGCAGCGGTGATGTAGGCAGTGAGCGTCACTTGATCCCCGACCCCTCCCTATGACACCAAAGGATGACAGTAAACTTCATCCAACATCATACAGTACTCCCAGGTGCTACAGCGTTTCAAAATCAAACTGATATCAACCGATATCAGGCAAAAACCATTGCATTGTTTAAAACAACATTCACATGATATGTTGCACAAAGATACAGAACAGGGGGGGGGGGGGGGGGGGGGGGGGGGGACCTGTTAAGCCCTTCAGATTCAAGTGTAGTGTTCTGGAGATACACAAAAGCTGTCAGTACTAGTCAGACTGAGGTCACTTTGGGGAGGTGGTGTGTTCTCAGGACAGGCTAAAACATGCTTGGGATTCTTGTTGTGCTCAGCATGTGCACTTTTGTGCTTCTTTGGGGCACACGTGTGGTCCTAAGGTCCTGCTGAACAGTACATTATCCTCGGTGTCAGTGCAATATGAATTATGTAAAGTACTCATATTTGATGTTAGACTATGTATTGTTATCAAGTCTTTTGTTTGTTAGTTATCTAGAATTTAATGCCGACTCCACCATTGCACTGTAAATAGAAAGGGACACTTTTGCACCAGAACCTCCTGCTGAATCTCTCCTCTTAACGTTACCTTTTCACATTTGGTGGCAGTAGTAAGATACTACTACTCCTCCTCCTCCTCCTCCTCCTCCTCCTCCTACTACTACTACTACTACCAACTGAGCTCTGATTCCCCTTTACCTTCATGTCGTTATGGAAGAGTTGCCCCACTGACGTGATGCAGCCATCCTTCTGCTGGTGACTGGCCAACCAGGCCTTGGCCTGGGCAATGTGGGCGGGGTCCACAAAGATGTAGGGCTTGGCCCCGCCAAAGGACTTCAGCACAAAGGAGGTGAGCCTGAGAGGACACGGGAAAGATGTCACTGGAGTTACTAAGACTAGATGTGGTGAGCCTTACCTAAACTATGGATCATAGAATCTAGATAACAGAAGTTAGTAGCCATACTGTATGTGCTGAAGCCAACTCTATACTTGCCACAATAATAATTGGCTTCAGCACATACTAATACTGATTGGAGACGATCACATTCCTGCCTTGATTACATACTGTAACACCCTTAATCCAATGTCATTTTCAAGAAGGACTTCAAAAAACGAACAAATATTTTGTGGAATTGTCGAATTATCTAAGATAAGTTATTATGACTGTGTGGACTTCCAATAAACTGACCAGGTGTTTCCAGACTCATCACTCTGCCCAAAGGCACTGTAGGAGCCATCGTTATGCTTGTAGTTTAGCTCTCTCTGGTAGCCTGCAACACAAATGGCCAAATGAACAAACAGATTATCCTTCAAGGGACTTCTATTATATGTGCAAGGTGCAGTTAACTGGTTTAGTGCCAAATATAGACAACAGGTTGTTGCTAGTCAGAGGTGAGATGCACACGGAAATGATCAGATCACAAACTGTCAGACAGTGTTGATCTTTGCAGACTCCTGTTCAATCACAGCTCATTATTTAAAAAGTACAAGGCTTACTGCAAATTATCTTGTCATATCCCAGTGCATTCTATGTATTCCATTAAACATTCCATTAAGCATTGCAGTCCATTTCACCAGGGTTGTGTCCAGTAGGAAGATTTTGTAATTTTTATTGAGTAAAACAGGGAGTGCAGGATGTCTGATAATAAATGCTTGTTTTTCGTTGCAACATATTTTAAAACAGTTTTGCTATGTTGTGCCTTACTGAACAGGACCCAGCTCACTCACCACTCTCTAGGAAGCCTGTGGCCCTGGTCTGGATCTCCTTGGTGAGCTGCCTGGTGCTCTGCAGGTAGTTGAGGATGTAGATGTTGGGCGCAAACAGCACCATGTTCTGCTCTCCACAGCCATAGGGCATCTGTAACAGGCTGTCCAGGTTCTTCATGGCCCGACCCATCAGGTCGCCTGGTGAAAGAGACCAACCATTGAGACAATCAATCAAACATTGGTCTCTAGTTAATGGCAGTTGTTATTCAATGGGCAGATCCCTGTTTCTTACCCTAGCCCTTAACCAATACTTATCCCTATCATCACCCATAACCTTCAGGCAGTCATAGATCTGCAGGTTGAATACTTGAATAGTCACTTCCCTCGTCATGAAGAGGGATGAACAATCCTTGCCTACACTTCATCTGCACCAAAATGGAAAACATATCCTGAACATTTTATAAAACTTAGAATTAGGTGTGAAAACTCAGCCAAACAGATGGAGTATTCTCACCCAGTACTGAGAGGGAGGCCTTGGCAGAGCCCTTCACAAACACCTCAGGCAGCTTCAGAGAGATGTCCTTCTCCACTGGGCCCTCTGGTGATGCGAGACAGATAAACGAGACAGACCGTGAGTGACTTGAGAACCGTTATAACCAATTAAAAAGTATCTGTCATCTAAACCAATATAAATGCACGTCAACATAATCATCAGGGTAATTATGAGAAAGTAAAATGACTGATAGAGGTCAGGAGATAACCTGCAGGGCAGAGCAGAGCGTTGTGGCTGACTGTCTCCTGGGTTCCCTCGGCCTGTTAGAGGGAAATAGACATTGAGAAAAGACTGGCTTTCTTCAGGTAAAAGAGCACCAAAATAAAACACAGTTTAATGATGACAACTAAAGTTAATTCTAGCATAGAATTTATATGGTAACCACTTAAAAAGGTACATTTCACTCCAAAATCAGAGTTAATAAAACGTTTTAGACCTGAAAAGTAGACTAATGTCGAGATAAGTCTACATCACAGGCTGTCTGTTGTGTAGGTCCAGCTATACGGCTCAATCCAAAATGAATGGAAAATACAAATTCTACTGTTTTTACCCTTGCCCTAGTGTTACTGAAAACTTGATCTCAATTAATCAATGTGGGAGAAAGAACAGTGGACTTTCTATATAAGACAGACACTCACCTCTACCAGCAGTGTTTGCACAATGGTGTCAATGCGTCCTTTTTCTGGCACCGTGGCCACTTCGCTGCCGCAGAACTTCTGAGTCTTCAATGCCTCGGCACTCACTTTCAAACTCACCTCCCCTATAGTTCAGGCCAGGGAAACATTAACATGCATGTCTAGATCAGTCACCCATCAACCTACCCCTCCCTCAGCTTGCTCCCTCTTACCCATTCCTCCTCCAGCCTCTGCTCCCAGTCACTCATGTACCCTGGCTCAACTGTTCCTTCCTTCCTTCCTTCCTTCCTTCCTTCCTTCCTTCCTTCCTTCCTTCCTTCCTTCCTTCCTTCCTTCCTTCCTTCCTTCCTTCCTTCCTTCCTTCCTTCCTTCCTTCCTTCCTTCCTTCCTTCCTTCCTTCCTTCCTTCCTTCCTTCCTTCCTTCCTTCCTTCCTTCCTTCCTTCCTTCCTTCCTTCCCTCCCTTGTTACATCCCTCATTCCTTCCCTCCCTCCCTGCCTCTCTCCCTCCCTCTCTCTCCCTCCCTTCCCCTCTTGTTCCCTCCCTCCCTCCATTTCTCCGATAGCCACTGATACATCGAGGGAGATCTTTCTGAGCATATCATCAGATATCCCTCTTGACTTGTTAGTACAAGTGATTGTCAACATTTCTTTACAGGGCTAGGATATATACAATTAATTTATTTGAGCCATGTGTATCAGATAAATAATTTAATTTGCTTCAATTTCAGTCTGACGAGAGCTGTGTGAAGTCAACAACCCAGTCTTAAGGCACTACGAATTCACTCCCTACCCCATTTGCATATATGAAATGTGTGGATGGGTATAAGCAGTGTAGTGGTGGAGCTTCTAACATATTTCTAACACCTTACAGATCGGCAAACATCGAAGGGTTAGGGGGCAAGGGCCAAGGTGTAGGGAGTACATTTGGAGTCTATTGCAAGAGCCTTGTGATAGATTGATAGAATATACTGTATGGCTCACCCAGAGAAGTTGGGGTGAGGATCCACTTGAAGGTCCTGCTCTCTTCACCACACAGACACAGGGTGTACTGGCAGCCTTCACAAGGCCTGGCTGTGAACTGGTCCGACTCAGCTAGAGTCACCTTCACCTAGGAGAAACACATGGTGTCAATCTCAAGTCTTTCCTAGATTCCTCTTCTCGCGTCCTTAAAACGTCAGAGCATCTATAGATTGTCTACAGCAGGGGTTGGCAACAGGCGGCTCATGGGCCAAAACCGGCCCACAAGTGATTTATTTTTGATTCCCCAAAGTTGTTAGTAAAAACAAATATATATATATATATATATATATATATATATATATATATATATACATATACTCTACGAGTCAAAAGTTTGGACACACCTACTCATTCAATCGTTTTTTCTTTCTTTCTTTTTTACTATTTTCTACATTGTAGAATAATAGTGATGACATCAAAACTATGAAATAACACATATGGAATCATGTAGTAACCAAAAAAGTGTTAAACAAATAGCCACCCTTTGCGTTGATGACAGCTTTTCACACTCTTAGCATTCTCTCAACCAGCTTCATGAGGTAGTCACCTGTAAGGCATTTCAATTAACAGGTGTGCCTTGTTAAAAGTTAATTTGTGGAATTTATTTCCTTCTTAATGCGTTTGAGACAATGAGTTGTGTTGTGACAAGGTAGGGTGGGTATACAGAAGATAGCCCTATTTGGTAAAAGACCAAGTCCATATTATGGCAAGAACAGCTCAAATAAGCAAAGAGAAACGGCAGTCCATCATTACTTTAAGACATGAAGGTCAGTCAATACGGGAAATTTGACATTTTCTTCAAGTGCAGTCTCAAAAACCATCCAGCGCTATGATAAAAATAGGTCTCATGTGGACCATCACAGTAATGGAAGACCCAGAGTTACCTCTGCTGCAGAGGATAAGTTCATTAGAGTTACCAGCCTCAGAAAATGCAGCCCAAATAAATGCTTCACAGAGTTCAAGTCACAGACACATCTCAACATCAACTGTTCAGAGGGGACTGTGTGAATCAGGCCTTCATGGTCGAATTGCTACAAAGGAACCACTACTAAAGACACCAATAAGAAGAAGAGACTTGCTTAGGCCAAGAAACACGTGCAATGGAAATTAGACCGGTGGAAATGTGTCCTTTGGTCTGGAGTCCAAATTGGAGATTTTTGGTTCCAACTGCCGTGTCTTTGTGAGACGCGGTTTGGGTGAACGGATGATCTCTGCATGTGTAGTTCCCACCATAAAGCATGGAGGAGGAGGTGTTATGGAGTGGAGGTGCTTTGCTGGTGACACGGTCTGTGATTTATTTAGAATTCAAGGCACACTTAACCAGCATGGCTACCACAGCATTCTGCAGTGATACGCCATCCCATCTGGTTTGGGCTTATTGGGACTATCATTTGTTTTTCAACAGGACAATGACCCAACACACCTCCAGGCTGTGTAAGGGCTATTTTACCAAGAAGGAGAGTGATGAAGTGCTGCATCAGATGACTTGGCCTCCATAATCCCACGACCTCAACCCAATTGAGATGGTTTGGGATGAGTCGGAAGGCAGAGTGAAGGAAAAGCAGCCAACAAGTGCTCAGCATATGTGGGAACTCCTTCAAGACTGTTGGAAAAGCATTCCAGGTGAAGCTGGTTGAGAGAATGCCAAGAGTGTGCAAAGCTGTCATCAAGGCAAAGGGTGGCTATTTGAAGAATTTAAAATATAAAATATATTTAGATTTGTTTAACACTTTACTACATGATTCCATATGTGTTATTTAATAGTTTTGATGTCTTCACTATTATTCTACAATGTAGAAAATAGTACAAATAAAGAAAAACCCTTGAATGAGTAGGTGTGTCTAGACTTTGACTGGTACTATATGTATATTTTAAATCACCAGGAATTCAGCTTAAATTTAGTTTAATTTAGGAAATCTATTCCCAATTATTCCCACAAGTAAAAAAAAAAAGATACATGTGATCATGTCTCAATGTAATCAAGATATGAAACTATAGTTATTTTCAAATACAACCTCTTTTTGGGCTTAGTTAGCAGAGTACAAATTATTATTATTATTTTCCGTCCCCCCGACCACTCCAACAAAAATCATCCAGCAGCTGAATCTAGTTGCCTACCCCTGGTCTACAGGGACTATCCAAATGAAGTGGGACTGGAGAGGTAAAGAAAGAGGCAATACTGGGAGGGCTTACCATGATACACTTGGAGAGGTAAAGAAAGAGACAATACTGGGAGGGCTTACCATGATACACTTGGAGAGGTAAAGAAAGAGACAATACTGGGAGGGCTTACCATGATACACTTGGAGAGGTAAAGAAAGAGACAATACTGGGAGGGCTTACCATGATACACTTGGAGAGGTGAAGAAAGAGACAATACTGGGAGGGCTTACCATGATACACTTGGAGAGGTAAAGAAAGAGACAATACTGGGCGGGCTTACCATGATACACTTGGAGAGGTAGTTGAACACTGTGGCCTTGAGTGTGAACACCTCCCCCCGGATGACAGAGTAGGGCAGCGTCAGACTCACAAAGAAGGGTTGGAAGGCAGTGAGGCCAGTGTTGGGAGCCAGGCCAAAACCCACTGGGGAAGTACAGAACGCCCCTGCAGCCCACTTAGTGATGGTGTCTGGGACAGTCTTCTCAACATTAACCTTTCCTGTATCTCTGGTGGTGTGGAAATTTTGAATAAAAACAAAATTTATATTAACATTAGAAAACATGATTTATGGTAAATTCAATAGAGGACTAGGTAATTTTTTTAATGAACTCGTCTTCCCCCTTAAATCGACCCCTAGCACAAAAACATGCCTGTAGTTTCAGTTATGCCATATTAGTAGGCATTGTCAGCCCAGCACCCCATGAAAAGGGATGTGTGTTGGACTACAAATACAGTGTATGTTACAATGCTTACCCCACAGGCACCAGGTCCCAGATCCAGGTCTCAGGGAAGTATGTGCGGACGGTCTCCATAGGCCCGTCAGAGGCTCCAGGGGCTGGTGCACTCGGCAGATTTGGCATCATGTTAATGGCCATGGGACGAACTGTAAATAGAAACCAATCCTTCATTAGGTTGAGACTAGAAATGTTTAGACATTAGCATATCAAATAAAAGTTTATTGGTCATGTACACAGATTTGCAGGTTTTATGGCAGGTGCAGCGAAATGCTTGTGTTACTTGCTCCAACAATACAAATACACAATAATCAAAAAAATCTAAACAAGAAATCAAGAGCTAACAGTCCAAGTAGATATATTAAAGTGAGAATATAAATACTTGGTGTGTATAGACAGAATATAATTTGGAAAAGAAAATGGTATGTACAGTAGTAGCTATATTGGGATGAGCCATGTCGAGAATACAGTATTATCATACACAATGAGTAAACAACAGTATATACACAGAATATGAGGTGACTAGCGTTCAATCACTCTATACATGGGGCTCTATATAATACATTTACATTTACATTTTAGTCATTTAGCAGACGCTCTTATCCACAGCGACTTACAGTTAGTAATACCCTCTTCTATCATACCATTGTCTTTCTTTGTAAAGAGTGTGTTACAGTCGTAAGGTTTTTTCACGTCGGAGTTGGTCAGGATCTTGATTCCAACTTCCTAAAATGAAAAGTACAGAAAAATGAACAGTGTTAGGGAGTAAAGGCCATACCTGTATTTCAGTTTTGCATCATGATGTGGGTATTACATTAACCAATGTAAAACCCGTCCATTTTGTAGATACTGTGTATATGTCTTTCTACTTATTTCTGAAAACTCACTTCATAGACTGCATTCTATTATAATTCATTCAGTGTCTACTTCACAAAGACGCCATTTTAGCCTGAGCCTCTTACATACTTACTATTTATTTATACATTGTCCATATTCCAAACAGACAATAACAGCAAACTTATTTGAGCTTCTTACTTTAAAGACGCTGTAGGCATCGTTTTCGTCGTTGTTGGGGCCAAACCAGAATGAGCGTTTTTTCCAATCAGGTACAGGTGGTTCTACCAACTGCTCGGCCGGTTTAGGTAGGGGTGGAAAGAGCATCTTCTTCTTCAAAGATTGGAGGATAGCGAAGGCATGGGTAGGGGTCTTCTACTCTGTATGAATATCCAGACAACTTCTGAACAGGTAGCTGACTGAAGACCTGCAGAGAGAGAAGGAATATACCTCTAGTAATAATGACTTGATCATCTGCAGCATCTTGACACGGTCAGAGCGTGGTCGGTGCATGGTCAGAGTGTAATCAGAAAGTGGTCAGAGGTTACAGGGTCAGTACATAGTCAGGACAAGGTCAGTGCATAGGATAACACCTGGGTTAAATACATATAGCAAATACTTGATCTGCGATCGATTTAGCTTGAGAGAACCAATGGAATAGTCCCAAAAGTTAAAAGGTCTAAACTTGAAGTATCAGACAGTGGTTAGATGGTTACATGGTTAGAGGAAGCTGAAAGTGAGCCGAATCCTATCTTGAAGTCACATGGGTGCACAAAAACAATGCCAAAGGAGGATTTGTGTGATCATGGTTAGGCTTCAGCTTAGTGTGGTGAGTCAATGGTTAGTAAGTGAATGTGATGGGCTGTGTACTGTCCCAAATGGCACAGTCTTCCCTATATAGTGCACTACCTTTGACCAGGGCCTCAAAGGGGTTTGGTCAAAAGTAGTTCACTACATTCGGAATAGGGTGCCATTTGGGACGCATGCATGGAGAACGTACAGAGTCTAGGCTGAGCTCCTTTTCAGGCTGTAGCAGCAGCACACTCTGGTCGATGGCCCTGAGAGAACACAGAGACCCTGGGTGGGCCTGGATGCTCAGAGAGGTCTTCTCCCCTGGCAACTCCTGGAGGGACGAGAACTTCAGGGACACCTGGAGAGGAGAAAAGGGGGACACATCACAGCTATGTTTAAATACAGTGGGGGAAAAAAGTATTTAGTCAGCCACCAATTGTGCAAGTTCTCCCACTTAAAAAGATGAGAGAGGCCTGTAATTTTCATCATAGGTACACGTCAACTATGACAGACAAATTGAGAAAAAAAATCCGGAAAATCACATTGTAGGATTTTTTATGAATCTATTTGCAAATTATGGTGGAAAATAAGTATTTGGTCAACTACAAACAAGCAAGATTTCTGGCTCTCACAGACCTGTAACTTCTTCTTTAAGAGGCTCCTCTGTCCTCCACTCGTTACCTGTATTAATGGCACCTGTTTGAACTGTATCAGTATAAAAGACACCTGTCCACACCTCAAACAGTCCACTCCAAACTCCACTATGGCCAAGACCAAAGAGCTGTCAAAGGACACCAGAAACATAATTGTGACTGCCAGCTGGAAGACAATCTGCAATAGGTAAGCTTGGTTGAATACGTCAAGCCAGGCGTCCTCCATGTCAGTCTGCCTGCTCTGACACGTGTTTGGTCGTTGTATGGTGGGTTTTTCTGTTCACGATCGTCTGGGTAAGGAGTAGTAGACCAAGGCGCCAGCGTGTGAAATAAACATGACTTATTTAATAAAGCACGAAAACCAAAACAATAGACGATTCGTGAAGTCCACGGTTAAACATACCGACACGGAACAAAAAACCCACAAACACCAAAGTGAAACACAGACAGTTAAATATGGCTCCCAATCAGAGACAACCAGCACACAGCTGACACTCGTTGCCTCTGATTGGGAGTCATTCATTCAAACATAGAAATGAACCCAACAGAAATACCAACATAGAAATACACCCAATGAATGAACACACCCTGGCTCAACATACAGAGTCCCGGAGCCAGAGCGTGACAGTATAACACACCACTATGGAATCAGCAGGAGCCGCAGCAGCCCAGGCGACTCTGGAGGACAGGGTCCGGGAGCAAGGTGACCAGATCCTGCAGATGGGGACCGCACTGCAGGAGGTGATCACCACCATCCAAGGCTGGGGGACGCCTCCACCACCACCCTCCGTGCCAGCACCATCGGCCAGTCAGCCTATTCCCGCACCAGAACCCCGAGGAGTCCGACTCTCGCTCCCGAGGGCTTACGATGGGACCGCGGCCGGGTGCCAGGGTTTCCTTCTCCAGGTGGAGCTGTACCTGGCCACCGTGTACCCGGCGCCCTCGGGACATGAGAGCGTGTCCGCCCTGATCTCCTGCCTGTCCGGGAAGGCGTTGGAATGGGCCAACGCGGAGTGGAGGAGGATCGACGCGGACACCATAACGTACAACGAGTTCTCCCCGCCGCTTCAAGGCGGTGTTTGACCATCCCCCGGAGGGGAAAGCGGCGGGGGAGCGTCTGGTCTTCCTCCGGCAGGGGAGGAGGAGTGCTCAGGAGTTCGCCTCGAATTCCGTACTCTAGCGGCAGATGCAGGGTGGAATGATCGGGCCCTCGTCGATCACTACAGGTGTAGTCTACGAGAGGACGTCCGTCGGGAGCTGGCCTGTAGGGACACCAGCCTCACGTTCGACCAGTTGGTCGACATGTCCATCAGGCTGGATAACCTGCTAGCTACCCGCGGACGTTCCGAGGGGGGTCCGTCCATTTCACCCTCCAGCGCTTCCGAGCCGTGCCCCATGGAGCTCGGGGGCGCTGGCGCTAGAGAGAGGAGGGGTCGGCTTACTAGGGGGTCCATCCCCTGCACCAACTGTGGTCGGGGAGGACACACCGCGGCTAGGTGCTGGGGATGGCCTCCTAGGGGAGAGGACGACAGGTCCCGCACTGGGATTCCCTCCAGGTGAGTAGGCGCCCCACTCACCCAGAGCTCTCTGTTGCACATTTTTGTATGCCTGTGCGTTTTCCACAGGTAGCACCTCATTCCCAGCATAAGGCGCTGGTAGATTCAGGCGCGGCTGGGAATTTTATTGATAAGAAGTTTTGTTTAGCTTTAGGGATTCCCCTTCTTCCTGTTGATGTTCCTTTCCCCGTTCATGCCCTAGATAGCCGTCCGTTGGGTGCGGGCTTGATCAGGGAGGTCACTGCGCCACTTAGGATGTGTGCGCAGGGGGGTCATCAGGAGATGATTCAGCTATTTCTGATTGACTCTCCTGCGTATCCGGTGGTGCTGGGCATGCCCTGGTTGAGTACCCATAACCCATCCATTTTGTGGCAGGAGAGGGCTCTGATGGAGTGGTCTGCTCAGTGTGTGGGTAGATGTTTAGGCGTTTCCGTAGGGGCTACCTCGGTGGAGAGTCCAAACCAGGTGCCCGCGTTGCACGTTCCCCCTGAGTATGGGGATTTGGCTATTGCGTTTAGTAAGTCGAGGGCGACGCAGTTGCCGCCCCATAGGCAGGGAGATTGTGCGATAGACCTCCAGGCAGGAGCTGCGCTCCCACGGAGCCATGTGTATCCTCTGTCTCAAGAGGAAAAGAAAGCTATGGAGACTTACATAGACGAATCTCTGAGACAAGGATACATACGGCCTTCCACTTCCCCTGCGTCCTCGAGTTCTGGGGCTCCACGCAAGATCTCACCCCGTGGGGTCAAAATGATCACAAGAACGTTGAGCAAAAATCCCAGAACCACATGGGGGGACCTAGTGAATGACCTGCAGAGAGCTGGGACCAAAGTAACAAAGCCTACCATCAGTAACACACTACGCCGCCAGGGACTCAAATCCTGCAGTGCCAGATGTGTCCCCCTGCTTAAGCCAGTACATGTCCAGGCCCGTCTGAAGTTTGCTAGAGTGCATTTGGATGATCCAGAAGAGGATTGGGAGAATGTCATATGGTCAGATGAAACCAAAATATAACTTTTTGGTAAAAACTCAACTCGTCGTGTTTGGAGGACAAAGAATGCTGAGTTGCATCCAAAGAACACCATACCTACTGTGAAGCATGGGGGTGGAAACATCATGCTTTGGGGCTGTTTTTCTGCAAAGGGACCAGGACGACTGATCCGTGTAAAGGAAAGAATGAATGGGGCCATGTATCGTGAGATTTTGAGTGAAAACCTCCTTCCATCAGCAAGGGCATTGAAGATTAAACGTGGCTGGGTCTTTCAGCATGACAATGATCCCAAACACACCGCCCGGGCAACGAAGGAGTGGCTTCGTAAGAAGCATTTCAAGGTCCTGGAGTGGCCTAGCCAGTCTCCAGATCTCAACCCCATAGAAAATCTTTGGAGGGAGTTGAAAGTCCGTGTTGCCCAGCGACAGCCCCAAAACATCACTGCTCTAGAGGAGATCTGCATGGAGGAATGGGCCAAAATACCAGCAACAGTGTGTGAAAACCTTGTGAAGACTTACAGAAAACGTTTGACCTGTGTCATTGCCAACAAAGGGTATATAACAAAGTATTGAGAAACTTTTGTTATTGACCAAATACTTATTTTCCACCATAATTTGCAAATACATTCATTAAAAATCCTACAATGTGATTTTCTGGAAATTTTTTCTCATTTTGTCTGTCATAGTTGTCACGATCGTCTGGGTAAGGAGTAGTAGACCAAGGCGCAGCGTGTGAAATAAACATGACTTTATTTAATAAAGCACGAAAACCAAAACAATAGACAATTCGTGAAGTCCACGGTTAAACATACCGACACGGAACAAAAACCCACAAACACAAAGTGAAACACAGACAGTTAAATATGGCTCCCAATCAGAGACAACCAGCACACAGCTGACACTCGTTGCCTCTGATTGGGAGTCATTCATTCAAACATAGAAATGAACCCAACAGAAATACCAACATAGAAATACACCCAATGAATGAACACACCCTGGCTCAACATACAGAGTCCCGGAGCCAGAGCGTGACAGTACCCCCCCCTAAAGGCGCGGACTGCGACCGCGCCTCAATAAGGGCTAAACAAGGGAGGGCTGGGCGGGCATACCTCCTCGGCGGCGGTTCTGGCCCCGGCCTTGCCCACCACCCTCCAAACAACCCCCCATAGCGCCCCTGGTCCGGTCTGACCCCGCTGGCTGGATCTGGACTGGACATTGACGGAGCGGATTGCTTACGCTCCGTTGTGGAGCAGCTGACCGGTCTTACCAGGCTGACGACTCGCACCCCGGGCTTGGTGCGAGTAGCAGGAACGGGCTGAACCAGGCTGACGACTCGCACCCCTGGCTTGGTGCGAGTGGCAGGAACGGGCTGGACCAGGCTGACAACTCGCACCCCTGGCTTGGTGCGTGGAGCAGGGACAGGCCGGACAGGGCTGGCGACGCACACCGTAGGCTTGGTGCGTGGAGCAGGAACAGGCCGGGCAGGGCTGTCGACGCACACCGTAGGCTTGGTGCGTGGAGCAGGGACAGGCCGGGCTGGGCTGACGACGCATACCGTAGGCTTGGTGCGTGGAGCAGGAACAGGCCGGACAGGGCTGGCGACGCACCCCGTAGGCTTGGTGCGTGGAGCAGGGACAGGCCGGGCTGGGCTGACAACACATACCGTAGGCTTGGTGCGTGGAGCAGGAACAGGCCGGACAGGGCTGGCGACGCACACTGTAGGCTTGGTGCGTGGAGCAGGAACAGGCCGGGCAGGGCTGTCGACGCACACCGTAGGCTTGGTGCGTGGAGCAGGAACAGGCCGGGCAGGGCTGTCGACGCACACCGTAGACTTGGTGCGTGGAGCAGGAACAGGCCGGGCTGGGCTGACGACGCACACCGTAGGCCTGGTGCGTGGAGCAGGAACAGGCCGGGCAGGGCTGTCGACGCACACCGTAGACTTGGTGCGTGGAGCAGGGACAGGCCGGGCAGGGCTGTCGACGCACACCGTAGGCTTGGTGCGTGGAGCAGGGACAGGCCGGACCGGGCTGGAGACGCGCACCGTCCATTTGGTGCGAGGGGCCGTAACAGGCCGGACCGTACTGGGGACACACACCACTGGCTCTACTCCGGGAACTGGAACGGGCCGGACC